GATAGGCTTCACTGAGTCAAGCGACTATAAATTGACTTTAAAAGTGCCCACCTAATAACTAGGACCAAATGAAGATTATAAACCTGTATGAGGAATTAGAATTATGATTTACAGTTGACAGGGTTAGGAACAAAATTTAGGGTTTTCACCACGAAATGACATCAGCTATAATGCCAAAGCGTTATTTCGCTAAATTTATACATTAATTTAGTGAGGAAAACCAAGACCTGTTACCTTTTGCCTGATTGGTTCGTCCATAAATCATATTTGTGCATTCAGAAGTGTATGAAAAACTAACGTATGGTGTTGAGTAAATTGAATATTACTATATTTAGGATAAACTGAAGATAAACTGATGAATCTGTTTTGCCCGCAACTGATGTATTAACTAAAAAAACACGATCATTTCTTATCTAGGCCGAAATATTTTAGGTATTTGGTGGGACAATTGTAACCACCAACAATAAGTCAGTGAAGCGATCAAAATAGTAGTTGAAAGGCTGATAACAGATCTGATTAAATAAGGACAGGTACTTAGGACATTAAGAGAAATGATAAAATTACAACCTGATCGACAGTCATTCTGTCAAGGTTAAGCGTCAAGGCCACGACGTAACCTTCGAAGCGAACTTTCCGCCTTACTTTGTGAGTCTTCTTAGAATTATTAAATTACATCCCTCAGATCTCGCCACCATTAAACTGATGAAATATTTATTGAAGTGTGTAAAGGGGTTTTCGGAACTATAACATTCAAAATTTCGAACGGGAAGTTTAGTCCTAACGCTCAAATTGTTCAAATGGTTAAGGACGGAATAGAAGAAACTTTCCCTTAACGGGCTTCCCTGTCTAGTGGCAGTGGATCACCAATACCTCCAGGCAAGAACTTAGGTATACTAACGATAATAGAGGAAAAAAAGAATTTGGTAAATCAAAATTATATGTTATCCTTAGTCCTTAAGAATAATTAAGTTTCCTCTTAAAGGACTCCTGGGAAGTAACTTGGACTAGCTCAGTCGGAAGCGAATTCCAGCATTTGACAACTCTTAAAGAGTAGAAGTTGTGTCTGCAGTCTGTTCTGCTATGTTAAGTCTCCGGCTTCCGTGTGTTACCTCTTAGGTTAGTGTGGTGACTAAGCTTAAGAAGATGTTTAAGGGGATGACCAGAAGTATTAAGCATGCTGTAAGTCATAAGGTCACCTCTAAGACGCCTGTACTCTAACTATGTTTCTGTACTCTAAAATGGGGGCGAATAAAACTGTTGGAGATTATGTGGAAGGTTCTACCGTCAAACTGGCCAAAAACGCGCTTCGATGTTACCGGTGCAATGTTTGCTTGAACGACGTTTTTGTCACAGTCAGCGTACGATTTCAAGTCGTAGGGTATCAACACTCCCAAATCTTTTTCGACTTGAGAAACTTCTAGAGAGAAGTTACCTTAGTTGTAACTATAGTCTGCAACATGTCTCAGATGGACTACTTTGCACTTTGAAGTGTTGAAGGTAAGTCCGTTGTCGTCTGCCCAACTTTGAAATCCAGTGAGATCCTCCTGAAGTGCTAGTATATCCTTATGGTTACGTATCTCTCTCCAAAGTTTCACATCATCAGCAAAAAGCAATAAATCAGATGAAACTTGTTGAAGAAGATCGTCAATATATATCAAGAAGAGAAGAGGTCCTAGCATTGAGCCCTGGGGGACCCCACTAGGACATTCCATAGCCTGAGAGAGAGTGAAGTTGACCCTGACCTTAAAATGTCGGTTTTCTAGATATGAAGTGAGCCAGTCAATCAGAGGGGGTTTGATACCCAATCGTCTAAGCTTATTGATAAGACATTTGTGGGTGACTCTATCAAAAGCTTTTGAGAAATCAAGGTAAATGACGTAAACCTTCCCATTGCGATCAAGGATGGTTGCCACGTGATTTGCATTTCTCAAACTTTCGCTGTATTCTTACGCAATAAAAGTACTATTTCTGATCTAAAAAATCTCTTCTGCGCTATACGTTCGGTAGATTACTTTTTTTGCACTTCATCCAACTTAGTAGTTAACTATGGTTTTGCCTCCGCTAACTAGTGGATTTGTTCAGTTTTCACGCAAATGCTAGTTTCAGCTTCTAGTAACTTCTTTTTGTCCATTTTCGAACACTTTAGTGTACTGTGTTGCCTTTGACGGTCTTAGGCTCTCTGCTTGTATTTATAAGACAGTTTATATCAATATAGTCATGAAAAATTCACGCAAACGACCTGGATGCCGTTTTGCTGTTACATCTGGCATGCAGTACGACAACTGCAAAGGTTGGTTCCACGGTGCGTGCACATATCTAACAGCAACTGCCGATAACAGACTCAGCAAGTCGCTAGTTTAATGCAGTTTTTCAGCTTATTTAAAGTTGTAAGGATGATTATCCAACAAACTGTAACCTTAATGTCACCTCTAATTACACGAATAATAATTAGAATAGCGACACAGGCCTGGCTTGGGTTATTCGATAGTGTTACTGCGTGAGCAGTGTGGGTATTATGCGAAGTTTTCAGTTCACCGAGTGGAAAAGTGGACCACTGGCGTAGGTGATCTGTGTCGATGATGGTGATTTGGTCAGTTGAGCGGGAATGACGTGGCTTCCTAGCTCACTTCAACGTCACACCTCATGGTTATTAGTATCCAGGTCCTGTGGCTACTTTGATGATCGTATGGAAAAAACATGATTGTATTGAGATAGTGTATTTTTAGAATAATTTGAAGAAACAGAGTGCCATTACTGTCACACGGGCCAGTTCATAATGTGCAACTAGTCAATCCACGATGGTTCATCCTTGACGTTAACAATCTTTGGTACACCCTATAACGTTCATTCATCAGTCATCTATTGCAAAAACTGTTCAACCTGATGGATGATTTTCTAGGACACAGTGTTGTTACACTGTCCCCACAAGGAAATAAAGAATAACAAATGCTCTTCAGATAAGTCTGTTTCTCATCCAACCTGTCGTACTGACATTTATCTGACACGTACTCGTAGCCGGGTCATATACCATAAGGTTAATTATAGGCTATGAACATATATAGTAGTTTTGAGGTAAACCTAATATTTTCGCGCCAGTTTGTGACATTTTTGGTCTATGAATTCATCTAGTCAATTCACTTAGGGAGGATTTATGTCAACATAGATTTCCCATCAGTATTTTGATCAATATTGTTTTGTATTGACGTGTCGGTCAGTACTGGATATAAGGAGGTGTTGAGGTCAGAAAATAGTGAGATACGTCGCTTTTTTATTCTGTACTGGTCCTGACATCAGATGTTACTGTGTTTTTGAAATCCTTATAATAGACTCAAACTGAAAGCGAAAGGATTTTTTGAAGGTATCTTCACCTAACACGTTAAAAAAGACGTATTTAAGGTGAAAATCTTGGAGGACCTAATTAATATTTTTCAGTAATATTTCATTTACCTTGCATCTACTGGCTGTCTTGTTTTAGGTTTATAAACGTGTCATTCGCCGAGCATATGAGGTTGGAGTAAGCCTGTACAAGTGAACTAGAATAACAAAACCTACCAAATATAGTGGACTTGCCATGATGTGATTATCTAATGTATAAGACCTTACGTGGAAGTCTTACCATTGTCTATACTGACTCGTCGTTTCGTGACAGCCGGTGATGTTTTTAGTAAATTTGTAAAGACACATTTGGGCCAGAAATAGAATAATACGCTTTATATAAATGGCGAGAAGCTACAAAGGGTGGCTGCATGTCCGAGCAACGCAGTCACGTTGATCGTTCATCTTTAATGATCTACTCCAAGTGTTCAATGTAAGTACTCTCAGCTATTGTATGTCCAGCTTCACAGATCGTGTGTCTAAGAACCATTTCCATTGAGAAACTTTCGTCAGTGTGTAGAGAGAACTCACCTTAACCGGACAGCATTTATAAAGCAACCATAGATATCAGCTCTTTGTGAAGCTAGCTAATTAAGCATCATTCAAAAATATACTGGTTAAGGATATTGTCTGAAGATCACTTGTCTTAGTACACATTATATTTTAATAATATACAACAAATTAGTATCTCATTGGGCCGACAAAAATAATGCATGTTAGTACATACCTTTCATCTCATCGTCACGAGATGATAATGGTAATTTATATGCGCAAGCAATGTAACGAGTAGAGTATGTACATATTTACTAATCATCCTTCTCGTGTAGATACACTTTCTGAACATTAGTTGAGGTGCTTTGTGTAGGTTTAACGTGGAACTATGATAGATGGCGCCACAAAAACCCATGGTACCTACTTCATTAAACACTATACTATGACAAACTTGACCGTACCGTTTGGCACCAATTAAATAAGTTCAGTCAGTGTGAACGTACTTCAGGATTCTCTCCATTTACTTTGCAATCGTCACTAGCATCTATTGTTTATTAATAGTCAGTGAAGAGTAAAAAAATAATTTGTTACCGGAGAATAGCAGTGCCTTTGATATGACTTTATGTTATTAGATAAGCACTATGAAGACTAGGCGAAGATAACAGACAGCAAGGGGTGTCATACATACCGGGTCACAAGAAATGTCTGAAATAACAAACCCCTCCATCGGTAGACGAACCGAATAGGTTGCTAATTTTGACGGCAGAAATTCTTAAGATCGTAAGAAAGTAACTCCAAACTACAGATCCGACAGGAATTTTAAATTCTCTTTTTTACTACTAATTAATGCAGCTAAATCAAAAAAGAAATAAGCAGAATATTTTGAAAGACCCCGATGACTATTGGGTTATGTATATTTATATACTTTAAGGATTGTGATTCATAAGTGACGATAGTTAATAAAATTACTGTGAACAACAATCTTCCAAACGATTTATTACTTCCTGGAATTTGTCTGTCTAAATATGTAACAATCTTGAAAAGAATCTTTACCAGTGCAGACAAATGGCTGAGACCAATTCGAAGATGATAATAATATACAGGAGAAAGAAATGTGAGTGAATATGTATATACTACAAGTGAGTTTTCGCCATTTGAAATGCGAAAAATCCAAATCCTGCTAAGACAGTCGCTGCTAATGTCCATTTCCACGTATGATCCGTTTGGGCTAATTCAAATCCGCGGTAATGCCTAAAAGTAAATAAAAAGTGAGCATCGATGCAATAAAGCATATACATTTATTGTATTAAAAACGTTACTTCATGTAAATTTAAGAACCACACTTGCATAGACAATACTACGTCTTACAGTACTGGTAAATGTTAAAGTTAGCCAGTGAATCAGTAAATTCACGTGCCGATCCATTGTTTTTAATTCGGTCGTATGAAAACTTTTGACCTTATTCTATGTTAGTTATCATTACACGTCAGAGTAGACGGAGGTTAGACATGCGTAACATATTTTAACGAAGTTCTAAGGTTCAGTATCATGTGCTAGATAAATATGACGAAACGGTTGACGCAAACGTAAATGTTTATTGACTGAGGTAGCCACAATGAATTATGTACCCCTGACCATCACTCGGCTTGTGAGTAATGATGGTTAACGTAAGAGATTAGAAAAAAAAAAGGCAAACAGACCAAGACATGCCATCAGTTAATGAATTCATTGATGGTTGATGTGGGCCATGTCAGGAGACACGAACTTATTGGTCAGTATTTTATGAACACAAGGAATTGCGAATAACATTAAACGTCTACTTTTTTTATCATGTAATATTGATACAATAACATCAAGAAACATACACTACACATTTTTATCTACTAAACTAATCAACTTACGGATAATTTGCCATTGTACACAACAATATATATACAGAACGAAAATCTGGTTCACCTTGACTTTTTAAATTACGATTAGTATTATTATATAAATCAGAACGTGAATGATGTCTACTACGTGATCCATTCGTAACCAAATATGAATTATCACAAATATCATTCAATGAATTTTCTAACGACGCTGAGTCATGTGAATTAAGCAGTGGCTGGTTCAAATTATTTGTTAATGTATTACTAGTGAGTGAAGATCTAGAAATAGGATCGGCTGAACCTGCACGTCTTCTTGTCGACAGTGTAGTAGTATTAGTATCATCAAGTCCATTACCATCACTAGTAGTAGTAGTAGCGGTAGCAGCATTAGATAAATCACTGAATGAATTATTTAATGGTAAGTAATGTTTACGTTTTGGTAATAAATAAACACTAGAAAATGATTCAATTGGCGGTAAATGGTATTTAGTTATCATTTCACTAGGATCAATTTGATAATTTTGTATGACATGTGATTGGTCAGATTTGGCAGCAACAAAAAGACACGGTACTCGAGTGCCACGATAAAAATTCTAAAGAGAAAACGAAATAGAAGGTTTGTTGAGTAACACTGTCAAAAATGATGACAATAAACTATTGTGTTGTGTGGTGTTTAATTTTGATACTTATACACTATCTACCACCTATACACGACCGTAACCGGTTATTTGGATCAGAATGAAGTTACTTGACTAAACTGATTCAGGGATGTATGTACGTTTATTAGCATATATGTTTGTCCCTTGGAAATTAAAGATATCAGTGGTGTATGTCTCATCCTATTGAAGTTGAAGCCACTTATTGACCAATCGTGTGCACTTGTTTATTTGATGGGCTTGTAATTGCCTCAGTATACCACTTCAGTAACAATTATTCTGTGAAATAACAATGGTAGGCTACAGTATTATAGATCCCGGTTACTCACTCGGAAGAGATTATTTACGGCATGATATTTATTGTTAGGTAACTCATTGAAGGATGCTGTATGTTATGGTTAATTTGTTTTACAAAGACTTTGTATCACATCAACAACTAAGACTTCTAATACATAATTCTGGGTGTAACAACATTGCTTCAGCTTACTTGATGATTGAATAAGATGTAAACGGTATTTCAAAGATAAAAGCAATCATAAGCCTGAATAATGGGAGAGAGAATGCTATTGAACACGAAAATAAACTTTAGAAAGATTTCCTACATTTTTTATAGACCAAAGACGATCATATAAGGTGGTAAGAAAAAAAGAGATCAAATTTATTCTATTCACATTGATAATCATAACCCTTCAAATGCCGGATACAGTGATTTTAATCGTATTTATACATTTTTGACTCATCTTTATAACGTGACAACTAAAAGGTTGGTGGACGAGAATCTCATTCAGAATCAATCATTTGCATGTCATTTAAAAAGTAGTCTATAGAAACTATAGTTCTAGAGTCCGTTGCTAGAAATTCTCCACAAGGGAAGAAGAACTCTTCAGTTTCCATTTAAATAGAAATATTAACGATATCTTATAGTTAGTACAAAGAAACTGCTTATTAGTCATCTATACACTGGTTTATTAAATGACAATTAAAAACAATTTGATAAACTTTAGAAAAACTACATCTAAACTGTATTAATATATAAGGACTCTCGTCTAAATTAGAGCGAATAGTTTCACAGTATTTGAGCGCCGAGATGATGTAAGACATTAAATAGGAATAATATATTTGTAAAATCTCAGCGAATGAATTTTAATTAAATCCAACGTTTCGCCTGGTTATCTGGTCCAAGCTTTTTTAAGGAATTCCTTGAAAAAGCTTGGACCAGATTGCCAGGCGAAACGTTGGATTTAATTAAAATTCATTCGCTGAGATTTTACAAATATATTATTCCTATTTAATGTCTAAACTGTATTAAGTTATCAAATAATTTTTAGTGGATGCGTTCGGGTACCCGTGTAAATATTGACTCTGAGATGCGGGTACATCCAAAGCTGAAGAGCTTTAAATGCGAAGGAATGTGCATCTTGGATTCCACTGCTAGCCAAATTCCACCTGCTATATACTAACTTGTATCATAATACCTATATTAAATTAATTCGTACAGAATTCACAAATATTTTAACCAAGAATAATCAAATCGAAGTTAAAATATCAGTAACCAGATAATGTGAACCATTATAAATTAAACTCAATTGATAAGTCTTCTAACTGAACGCTCGATTCGAATATCTAGCCGCTTCTAATAAACCTAGGCTAAATCTATACGGCAACTTGCACACAAGAGATAAAGGAACACCTTAGCTGAAGGTTCGTTTCTGTACGGAAAAACAAGAGTACTTAAAATATTCCAGACGGCCATAGGCTTATAAGAGTTTCTGGAACCATACTAAATATAGTAGTAGCATACGTAATTATTAAATCAGAAACGTGACTCTCTACTTCCCAGATATTCCTGGGGAGCTTCCAGTCAACGCTGATCGGATAAAATGTTTCCCGGAGTTTTCTAGGAGCCTATAGACCTTTCTGAGGAACACCTTGGATCTCCCGAACATTAGTGAATTACATTTTTTTGTTAACTCACGAAAAACATTTTTAAACAGACAACTTACAAGAAATATATTTGCTACATAACGAAATGACTCTGCATCTGAAACATCATACACCAGACAGGCAACATCTACCGCTAATGCTTCATTGGCTGACATTTGTTCACCTGCACTAGCACTGATCTCATGCATTAATAAAGTTCTTGACTGACCATAGACAGGAACACCCGATGAAGCTACCCAATTTGATGTACGACCAGTTATACCACCGATACCGGTACCACCAGAACCGGCTAAACTACGGCCAAGTAGGCCCTGCATTAAGCATGTCTACAATGAAAAAAACGGACAACTGAACTAATACATATTGTTATTATCATTGAGAATAAAACATGATTATAAAATATTGTGAATTGGTTGAAATTGAAAATGAAGACCACTGGATGCCGATTCTGTGATTTACGGACCAAGTGCTCTTGTCACGAAACTTGAATGATTCTAGGTTTGATCCCCAGAGGGGTGGTGGATGCGCTCTGCTGACGAGTCTCATGCTAGGATGAAACATGATTTTTATTTATTTATTTATTTGAACAAATAAATATTGGTACAAAGGGGCATCAGATATATATGCGTCACACGAGTCACTTGAGTTGTATGTGGACTGTGATGCTGCGTAGATGCCAAGACCGAAGCAGGTGACTTTATCAGGGGCCACACCCTGAGCTTCTGACCCAAAGGTCTGATCCACAAGGCAGTGGAGCAACGTTACAAGATGCATTCTCATGGTAGACGCTGACCAACGATTGATTCATACGCCATTTTCTCCATCAGGATACTGAAGGCCATGCGCACATTGATTGAGAATTAGGGTTTTCCAATTCCTCTAGGTGGACACGGAGGTTTCACCAACCCAGTTAAAGCGTCGGAAATTCCCTTTTCGTCCTCTCAATTTCGTAAACAACATCCCCTTCGCGAGAAGGCAGTGAGTAGGACTTCCGCGATAGTGGCTGTAAACACGTGGCCGTGTGAGATTATTTGGAGAGGGAGAGCTGACTCTCCTCACCATCGGCCGTACCAAGGCATTTGGGAGCAGTTGTCTAACAAAGTTCAATCTGTGGCGTAAACTATAGAAGATGATTCATTTATTACTAAGTATTAAATCATTAGTATTACTCGTGGCGGTAATTGTAGATCTTGAATATCATGAATTTAACCGTGACATTCCTAAATATAATGTAAAGTAACAACTTTAACGCTTCCAAGACTAATCACATTTTCATTTTAAAATTCAACATAGTCTCATATTTGAAACAGATAGAAGAATATATTGAATTAGTGATTTACCTGTTTCTGAAATGTATTATATCTGTCATTACTTTCTTTTTCTCCTAAATACAAACATCTAGCTAATCACAACAACTGATAATCAGTTGTTTATAGTAAAAGAATAGAAATACTCTTTATCTTATATTAATCAATACCTTAATTTTTTGAATTTCAGCGCCAAACAGTTTTGATGCCAACATCACTTTATAAATCTTCATTACACACACACACACAATTGATTGAAAAATGTAATGAGATGTAATAAATAAGTGTTGGTTGAATTGAAACCAACTTGTTTCTAAGCACTTGTGATATTGTATCTATATAATAAGTTCAGATTATATCACAAAAGAAAACGTTATCCTAAGTAGAACTCACTTAATTCTCTATGTGAAATTTATTAATTAAATAACAGTTTATGAAATAATTCAGTTATAGATTATTGTTTAAAAATTTCTCATGAACAATTAAGATCATCTCTATGATTATTCGGATCAAAACGTACTAGAACTTTTAGATTTGAAATTCAGTCAGTCAGTCAGCTACAACGTAGGACCAGGCACATATATGCATCGGTCCAAGTTGCCATATCTCACTCATTAGCACAACAAGATGAACACCGGATTCATAGAAGTAGTTAATTTAGTGGTGGTAATATATAAAAGAAAGGTTGTATATAAGGATATAGTATAGGAAGGAAGAAAGTTATGAAGCAATTTTAATCTCAAGGTTTAAGGGAAGATAAAGAGTGTATACACCTGCGCCATTGTGATCGATTCTGAGCCATGTCACAAAGAGTCTCCAACTATTGGTTACGATAGTAACGCGGACCCCAACCAGGTAGTCTGCAGGTAGAAATTCAATGATTAGTTGTTAGGTAATCATAATAAAAACGAGATATAATTTTTATCAGAAGGGGTTTTGTGGATATTATAGTAATTTTGATAGTTGAGATCATGAATTAATTGAAGCTAGACCACCATGGAAAACCTGGAAGCATTGGACGGCCGTTTCATTCTATTGTGGGACTCCTCAGCAGTGCGCATCCACGATAATTTGCCAAGAATATATGTATCTGGTTGCTTAAGTTGTAACAGTTCACATTATCATCATTATTATTAACGTAGTAAGAAAGGAATATAATCAAGATGAACAGTAAAAGGGTTCAAATAATAATAATAATAATAATAATAATAATAATAATAATAATAATAATAATAATAATAATAATAACTATGGCAACAGTTCGATAATGTTGGTGTTATGAAAAGTGTAAAATATATAGATACTGATAAGTTAATATTTGAAAGAAGATCAAGCATGAAAATATCTGCATTACTACAGGTTACACCCATTGATTGAATTTGAATATGAAGCTAAATTCATTATTTAATTTTCCATAGATCTTAAATTGCAGTATACCTTTACACATACCTTTTCAATCGTTCTTTTCAAACTGTATTTTCTAATATATGATCTTTCTCATTATCACTGTTACTACTTTTTTTCACTCAGTCTTGTCAATTTTATCGTGTTGTACTAATTTAGTAAGAGAACTTGAACTAAAGCACATTCCTACAATGACTGATTAACTGACTGAGAGAATTGTTATATCGTATGGGCCCGTAATATATATGAACGTGCAATTAGAGAGGAGTGGATTTTACTGATCGGATGCAAATGATACTTGAAATACGTACGAGCAGTCTTGGGTGCTATTCGGTCCTTCCTAACTGCCTAGCCCAGCCAGTTGAGTCCAGAACACAAATAACAGCCTCGGAAATATGAATCATTATTTACAAACACACTGGGTTTTTATACAAACCAAAGTAATCAATAAACTGATTATAACTCAAGAATCGTATGATCATAAATCAAAGATCAAAATAAAGCTAATGATAAGAGAAACACAAATATGAATAATTTAGTTACGTAACAACTGTACAATAAGAAATAGGCATAATACATTGGTCGATAATAGACCTCAGATTTACGATTCATAATTCACCAGGGGATATAACAAGAATATGTGGCTGACAGGTTCCAAGTCGAGTGCTTAGACCAGCGATCGACATTTTTTAAAGAAAAAATCAGTTTAGGAAAGTAATGACAGCTTACACACACAGGCACTATATGATCAATTAGTAGCAATCAATGTATGGTTATTTGTGTTAATCGAGTTCGATCAACTAAGGTGAAATGTAGGGAATGAACTAGGTGGCAAGATATCGTGACGTCTTTATTCAACGATAAATAGTTGGAAGTAATGAACAGGAAGATCGATATCTAGGTTTTCGCTCTGCCTAACACTTGTCAACAAGGTTTAATAACAATGGCGAGGAAAATGATGCTCCTTGTTGAATTAAGAACACACGATAAGTAGTATAAAAACAAGATATGTCATCACTAAGATGTCCGATTACTTTCAAGAGGGGAGAAAATCAAACTGAAATTTCTCAATGTCTTACAAAGCATTTTATTATAAAAAATAACTCCTTAGATATTACAGTAAAAATTAATCTTAGGAAGGAGAAAAGTTAATCCAATAGTTTAGTGAAAACATAAACACACTAACAGTAATACTCACTTTGCCCACTTTACGAGCTCCATAAACTCGACAATAGAACACAGTTCGTTGTGTTGAACGACGTATAGCATCTATACGTCTATCATTAGTGATTATAATTGCTCTTAATAATGCTTCATTTGCAACAGTCATACTACCTGATGTTTTACTTAAGTCAGAACGATGTGAAGCAAATAGTTGTGATCCAGATAAGCCGGACGTTTTGTGTATCACTGATGGCGATGTTAATGATGACATATTTGTGTTCGTTTGTTTATTTCCAGTTAACGCAACACTATCATATTGATTATAATCACCATTTACAATGGATGGCCATAATGATCCAGACTCATAATAAGTGAAGCCTAAATAAGCGAAATATTCAAGCAGTCGATTTGGTTCGAGATAAGCTGTCAGCCTATTACAAAATGTATAGAAAAAAAAACAAAAAATATAGACAACATGTTGAAACGAAGATTCAAACTTCACAATATATATCGTATTATACTACATGCATGTATATATGCCCACGTCGCAAAATTAACACTACAAAAAAACGATGTTATGACACAATACTATGTTACATAATTGACATTTAAATAATGAATATTTCTAGGAAAATATAATTTAGATTAAAAAAATAAGCAGGCAGAATGTGTAGAAACAGAAAAGAAACAAGCTCTAGGGGTAACTACAGCTTGAAGTTATGAATGAAAACTGATCTGAATTAGATTATGACCGATCACGCAGACTATCCTGCCCTCATCATATTAGACGAAGTAAATGATAGCACATATGATCAATTTACAGTTTACTGATTACTGGGACCTGAAATACGTGACACTGATCACTACCCAGTGGTCAGTGATCCGTCAAAGAGCATCAACTTCCTTAAGGATACAGGTACACCTTGCTAACGAGTGCTAAATAGCACGAATCCTAGATCCAGGGTTTCCTGTCGACTACCTCCAACAATCACTTCAATATTTATCTTGATAAGTGTAAAATGTATCATGTACGCAACTAATAATGTATATTTGATATATATTTACTAGTTCAACTACCTTTGCGGAGCTAGTTATTATGGACATACAACGAGGCAAATATATTATCATATTTTTATGAACATAACCACTTATGGTTAACCAAGGGAGAAAAGGGAACAATAAGAAGCTGTTTTGGCATATTTAGTAGATAGCGGTTACCATATCGATACAAATTTAGCTTTCGAAGCCATTTATAGTACCCCAACGAATTTGTTTCATATTTCCAGACTTTATCTTTTGCATACAACAGAACCCATTAGTATATACACTATTAAGCCTAATCCTTGTAAAAGGAAAATGTTTGTTCACCTCTCTTAAGTTACCGTCGTCTTCTTCTACTTAATTACCACATTTCTCAAAATTTTCAATTCTGTCCTACGTCAATTTATGACTTCATTTAACGTGATCTATCTATCTTAGTAATCTGATCACCTAATTTACTCCGGATTCATTTTATTATTTACATAATAATAATAATAATAATAATAATAATAATAATAATAATAAAGACCACTGAGTCGGCATCCAGTGGTGTCAGTGTCTAACTTCCACTAATCCATGATTTTGCACAACTATATTTTATTGTCTTTGGTGAGTAGCTCCCTTACACTCGACATGCTTGAACTCCATTAATCACAGCTCCTCGTCAGAATCACCTCTCAAAGTTAGTCACTAGTGAGCATATGGTAATTATCAGTATGAGGTTGTGGAGATGGATTTAGTATTAATTTTATCATAAACTTTAAACCTTGGTGATATGACAAGATAAAAAAATGACATTACATGGATCAACGCTTTCTTATATCAATTCGTTATGAATTTTGGCCAGGGTGACATGTATGAACTTCGTTCAGTGTGGTGTTTTGAGGTCAATACCTTCTTGTATCAACTCAATATAAACTTTATTCTATATGATCAGTGTGTGAACTGTTGTTGAATGTGACAATTATATTACCCGTATTAATTCAGGTGAACTGCTAGCCACTATCCATCTTTGCTTATAATGCTTGTGAATTAAGGCTATATCGAGGCAATACGCACAGTATGCACATATGCCAATAAGAGACTGATCATCAATTGCAGTTCTAAACATCAATTGGGAGATTCAGACAAATAATACCAAGCGAATTTAAATTTATTATTGTGTTTTTTTAACAGTATTTCCACCTTATGTGATGTCATGAGTGCATGAAAATTAGTCTATGAATGATTATATTTCGGTCTAATGACAATGTGATTTTAGGACTAATTTGGAGACGTGTTGTCTGGGGAGTCGGTAAATCTTCATTGCAGTCATTGATTTGATAAATTTACCAAAGGCATGGTCATGTAAGTGTTTATGAGAAAAGACAAGAAATAATTTGCCATTTTCAGATGACAAAGAGAATAATTTGAAAGAAAAAAGATACTAAAACTTTATATATATGAAGAAGTAATGATAAGACAGTGAAGGAAACAAATGATTTTTATCCTTATTAAGTAGTTTATATCACCAAATTTATGATAGACTTCAGGTTAGAAAGTTAATAGTGTCTACCAATCGACTGCGCAGAATAAAGTGAGATGGGACTATTAAAAATGACAATCTATTTGATTGGAATTTGAGTGTTTTAAGCATTAAGCACTGTCGTATTATCCTCGTTGAAGTAAAGTTTCATTAGTTCACAATGTTGGCTCCTTGCCAAATACAGCCAAAAGACAAAATACAAGTACGGGAGGAGGATATTGTGAGTTTATAGTGTGGGGACAGAATCGAGTAATGAAAAAACTCGATGAAACACGATAATGTGTTGTCTTGTTTTAATATAATATTTGATATCTGAAACTTCCGACGTCACTAATGTATTGTTTAATAATGAGTCTTTTTATTGACAATTCAATTAATCTAATGAATTGACACCTCGGATTTTCAGGGAAAGAAGCACATACCAAGCATGCTTGCATTTTTGCTGAAAAAGATCAGAAGACACCGGATTTTTTTCAGCAAATAGGACTATGCAGTCTGCGTATTCTACGTAAACAAATGGACCTATTTGTAAGAGTTCAATCCCTGAAGAGTTAGATGAATACAAGGTGGTTTTGGGGAGGATATTTACGACATTAAATAAGAAGAGGAACAGTGGAAAACCCTGACGGATAAAACTTAACGCTGGCTATTCTGGTGACAGTTTGGGGTAAGCCGTAACTAAAAACCAATAGTCTTTTAGTAGACAGAGATGACAAAGTTTGTGTACTTATTTGATATACCTTTTAGTGACAAAATCACTGTCAAAGAACCTCTCAATCAACTAACTGAGGTGATGAATTTGTTCATGAAACCGAACAGATACTCCACAACAGAACCCCCACAAACTGAATATGCCAATGCATCTATTTAGAATTCAAAAACATGATTTAAGTAAAAAGTATTCAGTTAGAATACCATAACTATATGTTACCTATCAGTTAACAGATCAATAATCAAGGATGGAAATGAAAGGTCACTCTATAGACATACCCAGTAATTATTCTCATTTCAACCGATCACAATAAATATCATAAAAGTAAAACCCAGAATAATATAAATTAATTATTCAGTAAATAACACCCATAGCTATTTATCAAAAAAGGTAAATTGTACTTTAGTTAAACAAGTGAATTATTTTATTAGATTCTCCACTTTATACAGAAAAAAACAAAAGTTTTTTTGGAAAGTGCTTATTATTCTTGAACAAAGGACTTTGTCCCGAAGTATTCATACATACCCAAGGATACATGAAATAATATGAAGAGAATATTTAAGAAATGAAGTACATGGACAATTCCTAATTACAAAACTTTTAATTTATGACATATGTATAAACAGCCCACAAATGCTCTGGTACGACCGAGAGTGGGGAGAGTCCGCCCTCTCTCTCCAAACGCTTTCACATGGCCACGCGAATATATAACCTCTGCAACATAAGTCCTACTCACTGCCTTCTCGTGGCATTACTGTTGTTTACGAAATTGAGAGGACGAAAAGCGAATGTCCGGCGCTTTAACCGGGTTGGTGGACACGGAAAGTTCACCTAGGGGAGTTGGAAAACCTTGATTCCAAACCAATGGTGGTGCACATAGGCTCCAGTATCGTGAAGGAACAAACGGCGTATGAACCAATCGCTGGTCACCGGCTACCATGGGACTGCATCTCTTCACGATGCTTCACTGCTTTGTGGACTAAACCTTCAGGTCAAAGGCTCGGGGTGTGACCCCCTAAGAAAACCACCTGTTTCAGTTTAAGCACCTGGGCAGTATCACAGCCCTCACATAAAATCAAATGAGATTTGTGAGGCGCATATTTATCTGGTACCAATATCTATGTGTTTAAATAAATAAAAATAAATATGTATAAACACAAGCCAACAAAATAGGCTTCCTCAAAAGAATCTTAGTGTCATTGGTGCTTACTTGAAGTAGAAGTGAATTTATAAAATATATTTTATTTAGACACATAAATATTGGTACAAAGGCACACCGAATACATATGCGTCACACAAGTCACTTGAGTTGTGTGTGGGCTGTGATGCCATACAAATGCCAAGACCGAAGCAGGTGGTTTTCTTAGGGGGCCGCACCCGGAACCTTTGACCTAAAAGTCTGATCCATAAGGCGGTGGAACATCGTAAGGAGATTCAGTCTCATAGTAGCCGGTGATCAATGATTGATTCGTACGCCATTTGTTCCCTCAGGATACTGAAGCCCATGTGCACCATTGGTTTGGAATCAGGGTTTTCCAACTCCCCTAGGTGGACTCGCCTTGTCCACCAACCCGGTGAAAGCACTGGACATTCGCTTTTCGTCCTCTCAATTTCGTAAACAACAGTAATGCCAAGAGAAGGCAGTGAGTAGGACTTCCCTGGCAGAGGCTATGTACGCGTGGCCATGTGAGAGCATTTGGAGAGAGAGAGCGGTCTCTCCCCACTCTCGGCCGTACCATGGCATTTGGGGGCTATCAGGGTCAATGAATTAGCCCTAGTGTATTTGATATGTAATTAACAGAACAGTCCAAGAAGTGCTTTTCGTCCTATTTGGGACTCATCAGCTGTGGATGTACGTACCTACTTGCATCACAATGTTCATGGTAATGTTCACACTGGAACTCGAGTCCAAAACCCTACAATTCGAACGCTTGATGCATTCTTTATTGATCTTCTGAGTCGAAATAACAACTAACTTTTTGAACGAATATGAAAACATTAGCAAAGGTGTGTATTTACATTCAAGATTGAATTGTGAGATTTATAGAAGTCATTTCTTAATTAACCTATTTCTTTGAGGTACAATTACCTAATTATTCACAACTAGACTTGATGTAAATGGATTATTCATGAAATATAAATCAGAAGGAAAGCTATAACACATCAGTATTAATCACATTTAATAATTTAAATACAACTTACTCTCTTGAATCCCTATGTATTACCAGCGGTTAAATGTAATAGCATATTATACACACATACACATACATACAACATTTAAGAAAGATGATGCCAATGATTTCAACGAGAAAAAAATAAAAATAATAAATAATGGCTATCCAATATCTATCTATTCAGTGTACAACTTACATCCAAAATGCCATAAATCCTTGACGTGTAACCCAACCCATAGAATTTGTTGCTACATATAAACTCATATCAGTTACATGATTTAATTGATCCTCTGGACAAGTAGCAAGTAATTCACTTAATTCTGCTGTAGACAAGCATCCATCTCGATCCTATATGAAAAATTAAAGAACATGTACATATATGAAGATGAAATCAATCATACACAAATAAACAAGATTATTTTTATATTATTGTTAACCAAGACGAGGTTAAGAGAGTCAACTAAGAACTATAATGTTTTATGTACGTATATATGTATAGGTGTCATGGGTTAGGACTACTGTCTGGTTAATACTTATGTCAAAATCAGTTTAAAGTTGAATGAATTAATCATTAATTAATTCATAGACCACTATGGATATTTTGTTTTCTGTAAACTGGATGATAATGGTTTATTCATCAAGTGTTCACTATCTTTCTCGATAAATAAAAAAGACATGATTACTTTACTATGTATGTATCGGTAATATTGTTTAAAGAGAACGTTTCACAATTAAACCATCCAGTTCGCAGAATATAACACTTTTAAAGACAAATGCTTTCTCTGAAGTCTCCAGGACTAAATGTATTAGAATAAGTATGAAATATTTGACTTTCTTTTAGGCGAGGGTCTAACAGATATATCACAGAATAGACTTTCTTAAAACCAGACTGTATGTTTTTCATTTATGCGAGAGATGGAAAGTTAATACTATTTGGTTCCTATGCTTAATATGACATGAAGTATCAGGCCAAATATAGATATACTTTCATGTAAACTTACCATAAATTCTAACAGTGAATTATTTACTAGACTAATAACCATCAATGAAAATGAAGAGGTCAATCGTTTATGTATTTTTATAGTGAGTCAACTTTAAAGTAATATTGTGCTTCCAAGAGGTATAAATTTCTTTGAAGTAAAAGATCATGAATTATCTTATTTCACTCAGAGTTCTTAATATAGTCAATATAATTAAAAAATATGATACAGGAATACTATAGTAAACCATTCAAATGATACATACAATACATCTCCTAACGTTGTTCTACTGCCTTGTAGATTAGATCTCAAGGTCAAAGGCCTAGGGAATAATCCTTTAAGGAAACCACCTGTTACGGTTTGGGCATGAGGGCAGTATTCCAACCCTCACCAAAACTGAATGCAGAAGTGTGGCACATATATTTTTGGTGTCTCATTGTATCAGTATTTATGTGTTTAAATCAATAAATAAATGGTGTAGTGATTATGACATTGTGGATGTTTAATCAGGAAATTGCCCCATATTATTGCGTTGAATTGAGTTTCATAATGAACTGAACAATAGAGAACATATTAGTTTGCTAACTTCGTTTTCTGACTGGACACTAAGTAGAAAAAAACTCAAGGACCAATAAGCATTCAGGTTTCTGTCTTTATTTATTGGTCGCTGTGTTCATTAGTAAATTATCAAATTGTACAATCAATATAGATAAGATATTCTATAAGACGACATCATAGTTATCTACTTCTATAAAAAGTAACCCGATCAAGCCGGGACAAAGCAAAGAATCAACTACAATAGCAGCAACCCAAGAACTCACAAAATCAACTGTGTACAAACTTTGTTCAAGAGGGCGAGGACGCACTGTAACACAATTACAGCACGAAAAAATGAAGAAAAATACCTGAAAATCATCCTCCAAAAGAACGGCTATCCAATCAATTTCATCAAAAAATACCAGTCGCACCCATCATCAGAAACGAAATCAAGCATAAAAATCAACAAAAGGATCACCCTACCATACATAAAAGGTATGTCGGAAACGACAACGAGACTGCTGAAAACCTTAGGAATAGGTGTTGCCCACAAACCAAGAAAATCCCTCCATTCAGTCTTATGCAAACCAAAGGATGAAATGACAAAAGAAGACAAACCAAACATCGTCTACAAAATAAATTGTACCAACTGCGACAAACAATACATTGGACAAAGCGGACGCCCCCTGCATCTTCGCCTACATGAACACCAATTAGCAGTCAAACGCCACGACATTTCTTCACTCATATCAATACACGTGGACAACTACGGACATACATTCGACTGGGAAAATGTGCAAATTTTGGACAGAGGCAATTCCAAAAATACCAGAGAATTTTTAGAAGCTTGGCACTCAGGTCAATCATCAATAAACAAAAATATTGAAATCAATCCAATCTATCAGCCAATCAAGAAAATTATGCAGGAACATAGGAACAAAAATCAAACCAATAGGAGATACAACCAAAACAAAGAAATAAACAATGACAGATTTAAGGTCAATAAGAACCAATCGACATCGAGGTGCAGAGGACAAGCTGTGAATCAAATGTGGAGAAATTCAAACACTTCACTTCTACCCGAAGTTTGTGCTGATGATGTCGTTCAGAAGGACGATGAAAGCTCCACGACCAAACTATCCAACTCAGAGGACAAATTTACATCAAAGAATCTTTCTTTTTAGTTGAAGATATAATAATAACATTTGGTTCTATAATAATAGTCAAGAATAAGTTAAGAATAGGCTGATGAAGCAAACTTTTTTTCCCATTGCATGATTCAATGTAATCGGATTATTCTCATTGAATAGTTCATTCAATTATTTTTCTTGAACTAATTATTTTATCATATAGTCTTTTGTAATTTGAGTTTGATTACAAAGATGTACAAGTAGGGTGTACTTTGATTGAATAATCGTAAGACAATCCTATTTATTACCTTTTATTAATCCAGGAATTCATTATAACAACAAAATAATGAAGCAAGGTACTCATTGTAGTATTTGTCATTCAATTATATCGTTTATTATAACCTTTTTTATTTATTGTCGTATTGGTTTATTTGAATCATTTGTACTCTTCTTCAATTGTTTGTATTTGTTAGAATCACTTGAATATCAAGGTCATTAGTATTACATAATCTATGTTGAGTGTAAAAATGTTTTTACCACTATTCAATAAGAGTGTTTTATCTAGTACTTTTATGAAGTTCTACATCCATTTAATGGATCAATATCACATATAAAAGTGTAATTATCAGTGGGGATTTCATATTATTCATCTTAAGTTATCTACATAACTCCGCCTGTAGCTCCTCCAGGGGCTACTGCCGGTCCCAAGCCCGGGTAAAGGATTCCAGCGGAGGAAGAAATCAGAAAGAAGCGCTGGAAGTGGATTAGGCACACTTTGAGGAAATCACCCAATTGTGTCACAAGACAAGCCCTCACATGGAATCATGAAGGTCAAAGGAGAAGAGGAAGACCAAAAAACTGATGTACGTACGTACGAAGTTCTGCGTTGTGATTGACTGACTAACTGAGGTTAATAACACAATTTGTTTAAATTCATTTAGTATTGCTTGTTTGAATCTTCCCATCGATGTGTTAGGACTGTAACTGGTCAGTCTCTAATTGGCATATGTGCATACTGTGCGTATGGCCTCGATATAGCCTCAATTCACAAGCATGTTAAGCAGAGATGAATAGTGGTTAGCAGTTTATTTATTTATTTATTTTATCTAAACACATAAATATTAGTACAAGGAAGCACCAGATAAATATGCGCCGCACAAATCTCATTTGATTTTATGTGAGGGCTGTGATACTGCCCGGGTGCCCAGACTGAAGCAGGTGGTTTTCTTAGGGGGCCACACCCCGAGCCTTTGACCAAAAGGTCTGATCCACAAGGCAGTGGAGCATCGTGAGGAGATGCAGTCCCATGGTAGACGGTGACCAACGATTGATTCATACGCCATTTGTCCCCTCAGGATACTGGAGCCCATGTTCACCATCGGTTGAGAAACAGGGTTTTCCAACTCCCCTAGGTAGACTTTCCGTGTCCACCAACCCGGTTAAAGCGCCGGACATTCGCTTTTCGTCCTCTCAATTTCGTAAACAACAGTAATGCCATGAGAAGGCAGTGAGTAGGACTTCCCTGGCAGAGGCTATATATTCGCTGGCCATATGAGAGCATTTCGAGAGGGAGAGTAGACTCTCCCCACTCTCGGCCGTACCAGGGCATTTGGGGGCAGTGGAATCCAGGACGCGCGTTTCGTCCTATTTGGGACTCGTCAGCTGGATGTACCGGCATCTCAGAGTTGATGTTCACTCTGGGACTCGAACCCAGTACCCTCGCTTTAAACGCCATCGCATTATCCACTCGGCCACTGAGTCCTGATAGCCAGAGTGAACATCAACTCTGAGATGCAGGCACATCCAGCTGACGAGTCCCAAATAGGACGAAACGCGCGTCCTGGATTCCACTGCTAGTCACTATCCATCTCTGCTTAACAATTTGTTTAGGTAATTTCCTCCTGCTTTTAGCTTAAAATAAGTCATCTCTTTTAATAAACTATTGTAATTTGTATTTTAGGATCATGGGAACAATCAATGGCATCCATTTTTTCACTTGTTTTGCATAGATCACTAAATATTCGTAAAGAATACATCTTGGCAGATTCGATTGTATGTTTTAGCATGGACAGCTAGGTTGTGTAATCCGCACGCATAAGTTCTAACACAATTCCGACTAATAGGTTTATGATATACGCTGTGTACTTTTTCATATTGCTATTTCAACTTTGGCTATTTGAGCCGGGTGGTTTAACTGTGAGGCTTCCATTGTCTGTCTGGACAATATCATTAAAATATATGTCTGTTTAGACTATGATACTGATAAAGCTATCTAGGAAGATAATGAAAGCTTCGTAGTTAACCCAGCTCAGAGAACACAACACCACCGAGATCCTCATTCTGAGCTACAAATATTCTGTATCATCTCATTTCAAATTTTTTAAAAACTGGTGAAATGTTGAACAACCATTACTGATGTGTAGGTTCCGATGAGTTTTGTATAAATAATAATTGAATTCTGTAAAGAATTAGACACCAAAGCACGTAACAACAACCAGGAGTAAATTATAAAACAGTACAACTTACCAAGTCATATTTATTAAATAACGCGTTTAAAAACTGTATCCCCACAGGTGATATTTCAGTACTGCATCCTGAAGCAATGGAAAATCTAATAAAAATATTAAATAATTAATTGAAATTAGAGAGATCTAAACACACTGATTGATTTATTCATTAAGAAACGGATAAGATTTCCTTGAATCTATTGAATGATTATCTCTCGGCACACAGAAGTCTATTTATATGAATGACACGGTAGTATTGTAGATATTAAATAAACAGTGAGTGATTATCAGTGGAGTAAAGAAGAACGAGTGTTTTGTGTTGTGTGGGGCTTGTCATTGGCCATAGGTTATATGTTATATTTAGAGCTTGTTTTCTTGCTATACCACATACAAATTGAGAACTCGAACGCTAGAACCCTTCGACTGATATGTAAGAAAACAGAAGACGAGTAGGAAGGAATCTTATTCCAGTGTCAAATATGGCACAAAACACTGAGGTATTTGTAGGTTTTAGTAAAAATAAAACCATCACCACGGTCATCCACTCAGCATGCAGTGGTTTTTAGCATTTGTCCAATCGCGAAGCTACACACTGAGATGCTGGAATGTTCTTCTAAAAAATGATTGAAGGGAATCTCTTCAGCTCTTTCCGAGCTTCTTATATCATCCTTGAGTTTGTGGGGGGCCGTCCATACATACATACACACTACTGAAGTAATCTAACCTACTGGATCACTACGATGATAAAGACGGAATCACACTGACAGCATAAGAATCGACAACAAATACAGCTATTTGTCCCTGCGGTACACCACCCCAAACCGAAAAGCTTATATTTTTCATTTGGTCGTAGGAATATAAGAAGCCAATACATGATCTAAGAAAAAGAAGAACTAGTATCTGTCCAAAAAAAACTCTCTAACGACTTCTTAACTGATATAAATTTTTATAGGATACTTAGTAAACTTTATTTTACATCCAGAGGAGCGATTCAATATCCACAAACTCTTAGTTACAGCATCCGCGACTCTTTGTCATTAGTGAAACAAATTTATTTTAAATCTTCTCTCCATATGAATTACTTTACCAGTAAATTTTCCAAACTCTGCGATAATTTACCACAATCTGTCCGTGAAATAGAATCGCTGCCATCCTTTGTTCGCTGCATCGATGCTAACCAACCCCATTCAAACGCTTTGTATTCGATTTTCGTCCTCTCAAATTCGTAAACAACACCTCCGCCACGAGAAGGTAGTGAGTAGGACTTTCGTGTCGGTGGCTGTAAGCCATGTGAGAACATTTCGAGAGAGAGAGCTGACTCTCCCCACCCTCGGCCGTACCAGGGCATTTGGGGGCGATTGGTCTAACAGTAGTATATTTTTTATTATAGGAAGTGGTTAAATAGCAAATTAACATTTTCATCTGTGTTAGCCAATAAGGTTGAAGCTTCTTTTTGATTTATCCTGTTGTTACGTGGTCTAAGTAATCTTATTGTAATATATATTACTGTTAGATTGGTCTGACAGTCTTAATTAATGAGGCACCCTTTTTTAATTAACCAACGATCAGGTATTAGCACATGTTAAAAGTCGGGTACATAAACCTCTATATGATTATTAACTACTAATATTAGTAGTAGTAGTAGGTCACAGCACCGTGTTGAATAGTAGCCAGTGAAAGCTTAATTTCTCTTTTAAGAGAAATAGAAAACAACATACTTTGGATAGATAAATTGTTCAGATAATCTCATGTGATTACCATAACCAAATCTACGTAATACAGTCCATGTAGTCTCATGACGTCCTTTTTGTATAAACATTAAATGCAGGAAAAGAAATCCTAAAACATGTTTTTGATAAATAAGAAAAGAGATGAAAAACACTTATAGTAGTAAAAAGTACAATGAGTAGCAAAAACCACTACTTGTGAGCGTTATATAAAAAACAGAGCTGAAAAAACTGCTATATACCTCTTGCAAATAATTAAGCAGTAATTCAAGGAATTAAAATCGGTTAGCAGCTAGCAATGAACTTCAAGATGTGCATTTCATCCTGTTTGGGGCTCGACTGGTTGGTTTGCCTGTATTCCAGAACTGATGGTTACATTAAAACCTGGATATAGCAATATCTCGCCTCCAATGTCAGTGCATTATCCCCTGAGCTAATAATTTAAGATGGCTGCTAGTTTATGCAATGACTATAAGCTTCATTTCTAAAGGTTTGTATATAGTGGTAACTCAGATTAACAAATCAACGTGTGACCTTTAACTAATAAATGATTTTCGAGAAGATCGTCAGCTTATTAACCAGTAGACGAACAAATGTATAAATCTCAGTTAGTGAATTAAATGGATACTTAAGATAATGAAAAGAAACAAAGCTGCAGGTAAAAATTACTGGTAGGTGACAACCTATACAATACTATGTCTAGGACCTCCTAAAGATTACTTCTAATTAACTAACAAGGAATATTTTAGTATAGTTTCCAAATAATTACTCAGAGAATTTTTACTGCTTCGAACCATACGAATGATATATACAATCACATAAAAGATTGATATCCTAGAAAAAAACTAAGCACACTTTTCTATGCACTTAAATAAAAGTAAGTAAATACACAAGTACTGGTAACAAGTGAACTTTTAAATAAAGAAATGAATTAATTAACTAACCTTTTTGAGTTAATCCATTTACAGTAACACCACCGGGACATGATTGTTTAACCAATTGTTTCACATCATGTAATGATTGTGCTGTTAATGGAATAGAGAAGCAACGTGTTTGAAATGCCTCCAATTCACGATCGGATAAATAACCATCATTGTCTGTATCACATATTCGAAAGATTCTTGTTAATGCACGGATACACTGTGTTGTAAGCTAATAGTAATAATAATAATAATAATAATAATAATAATAATAATAATAATAATAATAATAATAATAATAATAATAATAATAAAGAGGAGGAGGAAGAAGAAGAAGAAACTAAATAATAATGGTAATGATAAGTAATACATGAGAATATTTATATTTTAATAAATACAGCGGCACATCAAACATTTTCCTCTGTCTTGATTGACTGTGCTACACTTTACACGTCTGTAGCATGGTGGAGTGGCAATTTTGTCGTAGAAAACTTTACATTTTTCATGCAAACCAGCAAAAACGATGAAGAACTGAATACGCTCTCCATCATGGACTGCGATAGCGTGAATAATAATTCCCGCCTTATTTTTGGTTGGTTGCCAGGTCTTAGGTAAAAATTGCGAACGAGAGTGGAGTTTATCCCATGTCACGGCGATGGATCAGTGATTGAACTGTTCAACTTTCAATCGCCCGAATGCAAGTTTATTTATTTATTATTTATTTATTTAAACACATAAATATTAGTACAAAAGGGCACCAGGTACATATGCGCCACACTATTTGTGTGTGTGGGCTGTGATACTGCCCGGGTGCCCAAACCGAAGCAGGTGGTTTTCTTAGTGGGCCACACCCCGAGCCTTTGACCAAAAGATCTGATCCACAAGGCAGTGGAGCATCGTGAGGAGATGCAATCCCATGGTAGACGGTGACCAACGATTGATTCATACGCCATTTGTCCCCTCAGGATACTGGAGCCCATGTTCACCATCGGTTGAGAAACAGGGTTTTCCAACTCCCCTAGGTAGACTTTCCGTGTCCACCAACCCGGTTAAAGCGCCGGACATTCGCTTTTCGTCCTCTCACTTTCGTAAACAACTATAATGCCACGAGAAGGCAGTGAGTAGGACTTCCCTGGCAGAGGCTATATATTCGCTGGCCATGTGAGAGCATTTCGAGAGGGAGAGTAGACTTTCCCCACTCTCGGCCGTACCAGGGCATTTGGGGACGAATGCAAGTTTAAATCCCACACGTTATCTATTTTCAATTCGAACAGCTGGATAGTAGTATAATTAACCTTCACACATAAAGTGTGGCTTAAAACCAAATTTTCAGATTTATACATAGTGAGTTAAACTATTCAATTTCCTCATTGAATAAGAGGGAGTGGAAATTTTTCTTCCTCAAAGCACTTCTCAACACTAACGAGAATCGACATTAGTAGAATCATTGCTTGCCCCAAATGCCATGGTACGGCCGAGAGTGGGGAAAGTGCGCTCTCCTTCTCTAAATGCTCTCACATGGTCACGCGTACATAGCCTCTGCCACCCAAGTCCTACTCACTGCCTTCTCATGGCATTACTGTTGTTTACGAAATTGAGAGGACGAAAAGCGAATGTCCAGTGCTTTCACCGGGTTGGTGGACAAGGCGAGTCCACCTAGGGGAGTTGGAAAACCCTGATTCCAAACCATTGGTGTACATGGGCTCCAGTATTCTGAGGGAAAAAATGGCGTGTGAACTTATCGTTGGTCACCTGCTACCATAGGACTGAATCTCCTTACGATGTTCCACTGCCTTATGGATCAGACTTTGAGGTCAAAGGCTCCGGGTGTGGCCCCCTAAAAAAATCATTGCTTAGCATTCACATATAATGAAATTATCCTAAATCATTCACAATCAGGAGAATTATCGTTGCTTGAAAAACATTTTCAGAATTTATCAATAGATAACGGTAATATTTTTTTCAAAATGTAGTTTTACTTTAGTCTCACTAATTAGAGAAATGAGTTCAATATTTATAAACCAGTGGTTAGTTATCAAGTGTATAAATCACTGAGAACACAATATTCTTCTTTTAATAACTGACATACTATGAATTTATATACAAGAAACAATTTATATCGGAATCTCAATACAGAAGGGTTTAGATACGTGAACGAATAAATTTTCCGATAATAATTCATCACTTGATGAGGAGAGTGGAAAAAAAGACCAACATTTCTGATGCTTTGGCTCAGAGAGTCATTATTCAACTAGTGCATAATAAACGACAGACCTAAATAAAATCGACCTAAGGCCTCCTCGCGGTGCTGCTGGATAGTAGGGTCAACCTTGTTAGTCAACTGAGGTGGTCGACGGAGATCGAACCAATCACCCACTCTATTGTATTCTTGATCAACTCCAGGCTCACTTTAACCGCATCAGGTCACCCGATGTGTATGCTTATGCATAAGGATTGTAGAAGTCTTCGGGCCTATGTAGTTCGTGTGTGTAGGTGTATGCAGAGTGTGCGTGTGGTGTCGTACAAAGGAAGCGTTAGCTGAAATATTGTTTGCCCTGTATCTAATAAAATCAGCAACCTAATCTATTAGGTCGAAGATATAATAAAAAAAATGGCAGCAAATACTACGGAGAGGCGGCGAGCAACCGCTGAGGGAATGCTTATGCTTACGTGTGTTAAGAAGTACTGGGGCGGTAGCCATGGACTGAATGATATGCATGTAATATATAACAGACATTCTGATGTAGAAAATACGTTTCAATCGGAGCAGTGAATATCCACCTACGTGTATGTTATGTGATGCACGGGATAAAACCTGTGTTACCGGTGCGCATGTAATGTATATTTGCTCACGGAGTAGGCATACCTGTATGTACACCAAAGAATACGCGGATGCAAGTCTGTGTGTTATCTAGTATGCATGTAGACTATACCTATCCAGGGTAAGTAAAAACTTCAAAAACCCTTTACTTGCTCTTTTTACGATGCCAAGATACGCTCAAAGACCTGCGGAGCCGCGGTTCCTCACAAAATTACATCCACGCGGTGGGATTATGAGCCTTGAAAACACAGGATTCTTTCCAGAAAAACCTACATAAGCCTACCCAGAAAAGGCTACACCAACTAATCTGGCTGGAACACCACCACCACCTTAAAGCCCACTCTCATCTATGAAGATCATTTGACATTCTCACTGGTGTTCTGATTAGAAATTTGAGTTAAGAACTTGCATGGTTTGTCGACTGGAGTTAATGTAGACAACATCAGAAAAACGAAAGTTACACTGAATGCTGAGGCAATCAATTCACACATCATTAGTTTAGTTTTCACTAAGAAAAAACGGAACAATGTATGAGGATAGCTATGACATTAAAGAAAGAAAATGATGGAGAAGATTTGAAGTTCAGACGACTCCTTTTGGTATTGCTGGGTTCTCAACATGAGATAATCTAATTGCAAAGCTTTCATTGTCGTCAAAGTTTATCCCAAGTATAAATGAGTTTTTTAATTATTCTATAAATGATCAATCAGCTCGACCTGATGGTCTTGTTTATGATTGGTTGTCTTCGTTGGTTTCATTGTCTTCAATTGCTCTTGTTCAGCTAACCTTTGATAATGTGGTTGATCGATTTTTTCGGTATAGGTTGGAAGATCAACCTGGGTTATTAGGATGAACTGATTCAACACTTGTGGTATAACTATAAAGTATACTCATACATGAAATGAGCCCTGATGACGTTGGACGAAATGACAATGAAAGCTCCACAATTAGGCCATCTAGCTTAGAAAGCTCAAGTAAATATTAATGAAAACATTTACTTACTTCTTTCTTTTCAGCATTATACAAAGGAGCAGTTGGATAAAGAACAGCTTTTTGAGCGAACCAAAATGTTTCACTTAAATTTAGCATAGTTTTAGCTGAACACTGAAAAATGAATTTTTGTATAGAAAGAAAAAATTATAAATAAGAGACTAGAAAATTAATGAAGTAATCTAATGTTCAGGTTGATTGAATATCAGATATCCTGAATATTTTGATACTAGTTTAAGCAACATGACTTATATTTGCCTGGTCCTACATTGTAGATGACTGACTGACATGACTTAGAACTGATCGCGATGTCACGAATCCATTCCCCCTTAGTTTTCCATTAGATTTTGAATCCAAAATTATCCCGTATGGGCGTTTTTTATTCCGCAAATTCATTCTTAAATTAGTTTTTCTTTTGTGTAAATTATGACTCAATTTACTTGACAAATGTTTTAATCTCAACAAGAATTAAAATAAAATAAATTTTAAAAAGTGAAGGAACTATGTACATACAGATGCATTATTATTATTACCATGCTGTACTACCTCGACGGGCGATGTTGTTTGGTTTAGAAGTAGGTTGGAAGAAAGCTAGAAGCGGCCAAATCAAGACGTGGTATTGGTCCGTGAAGTTAATAACAATTGGACCGAATCACGTAAATAGATATAGACTGCCCGGTTAGGGTCCGTGTGATTATCGTAACCAAATTGGTTACGAACTTTGGGTGACATGGCTCAGAATCCTTTGCAATGACACAGGTGCGTTCACCTCTTATCATCTTTTAGAAGCTGAGTCCTGTAATATTCTTAAACCTTTTTATTATTATTTTCAGTATCTAATTTTTTTCACTACTATTGTGGTGTGTGCTATTGATGTCGACAAATATAAGTAGAATGTATCACCAATCGAAAGTGGAATGCCTGGCGGTAAATAAAGTATTTACTGTATGGTTCTTAGATTTTACTAAGAGACTGTAATTTTGTATTCAAATACAATTGGCTGTCCCGCTTGCGTTCGCGTCGACTACGCTACCACTGTTTTTACTCCGATAACTCTGGGACTTTTCTTGAATTAGTTTCATCTTTCTGTGCTAATGTGGTATGGCAACTTGAATCGATGCGCACATGTGTTAGGTTTTACGTTGTGCATGACTGACTGATTAACTAGACTATTATTACTACCGCTACCACTGAACAGTTTATCACATCGATGACATCACACAACTATAGTGGTGTATATAGACCAAATTAATGTCGATTAATGAAATATCTGGATAATATAAGGTATTAAGAACTAGGGGAACTGTCAGCAAGACAGAGTTCTGACTATCGCATGCTTAAGTCAGAATCAATTCAGAATAAACTGATAAGTTTATTATTGAACTAATCAGCTTTTGTGGACAGACCAAAATGCCAGATTATTATTTGAATTATTATTCAAACTCTAAAGTTTTCACTACCGTATCTTGATTGTTCAAGTTTAACAAAAAACACTGTTAGCTCTCAGATTTTCTTCTGATTTAACAAGTTGAATGAAGTAACGTGACCAGGGAATACTGGATAATACAACTCAGCAGAAACTGAATTCGATTAAATGTTAAATGAGTGTGTGTGCTATTATAAAAGTCAAAAACCAGAAGTATACAGCCACTCAAAATTCTTTTGTTCTTAATATTTCTCTTCTCATCAATATCAACTCGTAAATCTATGTATATCTTCATAAATCGATTGACTGAATTCGGGTTTCACACCCTCTGCGCTTGCTACCTTCAGTGTGCAAAAGCATACTATTTCAATTTACGTAACATGATAGACAGAAATTTAAAAACATCGACTAATCAGATAAATCCAAAACCTTTCTACCTTGACGACTTGATCAACTGATAAACATAGATATCAGTTAAGGTACCGTTGACAAACAAAGGGCACCATACATATGTTTTGTTCTAGTATGAGATTCTTCGCATATGGACCCTTAAGATCTCTCCAGTGATCGAATCCGGGAGCTTCAGGTTTCACGGAGATCGTTTAACTAAAGGTTTTCAATGACACTTTAGCTAAGATTAACCGGTGACAAACAACGCCTACAGTATACGATAGTCTCCGCAAAACCACATTGAGGAAAATAAATTCAAAAGGACCTAGGAGATCATCTTGAAGTTGAGCCTAAAATAATTCTGAATTGTATACGAATACTCTACACATCCGATAACCACTGTCTATACGTACTATTTTTAGTTGACGAAATCACATAGAAAACTATTACAAGCATACATGCAATAACAAGAATACAATACAAATATTTATTGCTAGTCAAGGCTACCGCTACCGCCTTAATTTCTTTCAATAAGGGTGATGACGATGATGATAAGGGTAATGACGGTCGCTACCGGTATATATATAATTGTCATTATTATTAGTGATAAAAAATAACAAAACAGAGGTCATATTAATCAAAGAAATAGTACGATAAGCGCCTTTTTTCCTCAAACTGTTATTATACTACTAATATCACGAAAACTGGAAAAAAAATTCTTAAAGGAAAAAAGTCAATAATAACACAAAGGAGAGAATTATGAATAACATAAGATACTATTAGTATAAAGGTATTGTGGAGATTGCAGGAATTTCAATTTAAAATCACAAACTGACACATTATTAGGATCACCACTGAAAACATGGAAGGATTTGATAGGAGTTTTGTCTCACTATGGGACTCCTCAGCAGTGCGTATCCACAACCCTGATGAAGAAAATTCAAACCAGAGACCTTCAGTCTCACCCATGAACGCTGAAACTCTAGACCACTGACCCGAGGTCCGATTGTGCATATGTCTAACTAAAATCAATTAGTGAGTATGACTGAGAAGCTAGGATCAATGGAGTTCAACCATGTCGAGTCAAGACAGTTATCCACCGTAGAAAATCGAGGACTGGAAAATATCACGAATCACTTAAAGCTAGATATTAACACCGTTGGATGTCAGCTCAGTGATCTGGAGGTTAAGCGTTCATGGACGAAACCAAAAGTTATGAATTTGATACCCGTATGCGAGGTCGTGGATGCGCACTATTGAGGAGTCCCGTACTCGAACAAAACGACCATTCAATGCTTCCAGGTTTTCAATGGTGGTCTAGCTAAGATTAGTTCGTCATATGAAAGCATGAAATTTTCAGGATATATTTGTGTATAATAGGTAAGCGGTTTGTAAGAAACGCAGAAAAACGATGACTAACATCATTGCTCCGGGAAAAAAGAGAAAACTCAGAACAGTAATCGATCCGCCGCCAATGTATCACGATGGTGTTTGGAAATTAAATGACAGAAAAGTACAGCTAAATTGTTATTGACTTAATAACATATTTATAGAAATACACCCAACTTCGTGAAAGTTTTTTTCACGAACTGTTAACATCTGCATAACGAACTACTGAAATCCACCGAGTATACATACCTCAATGCATGTTTCCACTTCACAGTATTCAGACATTAACGGGAGCATTTTCTGTATTAAAAGAAAAAAATTGAAGTGATTAATAATGATAACAACAAGATAAGTTTTGAAATAAAGCTGTACCATTTAAGAGAATGTTGAATAATAACTTCCTAGTTAATATCAATTATTAATTGAATCTCAATCACTAGTGATGATAGGGTTTCAGCTATGATAAGTGTCTTAGAAATGAGAGCTACAAAGCTGATGAAAATCAGGATCTAGTTTGATTGAACTTGAAATTCTGAAACTGATATTTGAAAGTTAAGTTGCTCACTTTAAGATTTTAATTATTCGCTACGTTCCGGACTACGAAAAGCTACATATTATAGCTATTACCTGCTGAATTCAATGCTTTCTTCAGAACAGGAGAACAATGAAGGATCTGAACAAACATGATAAAATCGCACCTAACTTCCATGCTGTAACCAATTTTTCAGTCGATTGAAGTAATAGTAATAATAATATTATTATTACTTGGATCCCGATTCTAACAGACTCACCGAGAGCTACTACTACTTTCCACCGCTCCATATGATTTAAAGGTTTTTTGAATTTCGCTGATACCTGAAAATTCTCGATGTCAATTGATGGTGGACACGACATGCGACCAGAAAGTAAAGTTAAAACGCCAGTCAAACCGTTCCTTCATGTGCTATTCCTGTCATTCCACTCACTAGTTCATACTCTACGTAGACCACTGAAACATCTTTCTTTGCGATAAATGCACTAAATATCGTATTCTCAAATAATTAATATGGTTTATTGCTGTTTCTTCAGTTCATTTCGATTCCATGGTTCACAAATAATCATAGTTACTGCCTAGAAATTTTGTAGGTCAAAATTTAAAGCTATTTTCGATCTTGATCGCGCCCATAGATTATAATCAAGATGAGCTAATGAACACTTTAGATTGAAAATCAACGTTTTTGGCTGTTTGTTGATAAGATGGAAGTTTCAGTTCATGTTGCAATATATTCTAAATAATCATACTGGGTGGTTCTGGAGCTCGACTTTCAGCCACTAAGTATTTATTGATTTAAAAACATGAACCGTAGTGTAAAGGGGAATCAGAATATATATGCCCCACACAAATGATAAAATCTGTGTGTGGGCTGGGATACTGTCCGAGTGTGTATACCAAAACAGGCGGTTTTTTTAAAGAGTTATTCCTTGAGCCTATAACCTGGAGATCTAATCTACAACGCAATGGGACAACATAAGAAGATGCAGTCCCATGGTAGCCGGCGACCAACAATAGGTTCATATGCCATTTGTTTCCTTAGGATTCTGGGGTCCATATGCACCATTGGTTTGAAATCAGGGTTTTCCAACTCCCCGAACATATAGCTATTTTACAAACTCCATTTTTTCCACTGGCTCAATAGATAATATAAGCATCTAGCAAGTACCCTTTTCTATTTACTAAAACTACTTCAAAAAGAATAATGTAAAAATATGAAATAATTCCGCTTACATTTAATTTACTTTCATGATTTATGTCTAATTTATTGCCAACAATTACAATGGGAATATGTGTATCAGCATCAGTGCTGACATGTCGAATTAAAGGTAACCAATAGGACGATATCTAAAAGGAATAAATAAATAAATACTACTTAGAAGCATAATATGAGTGAAATGTATTGACTGGTCGATTTCTGGTGTGATGGTATGTAAAATAGTTGAGGTCATTTACTATTAGTCTGGATTATGTTAGAAGCATGCAGATAACAGTAATCAGTGGTTGATGTTGGATGACAAAGCTCAGATTTGGTCACTGGCATTTAATCTATATAATCTTACTCTAGATATTAGGTATCCTGATAATCCACCTAGCATAACCTTTACATTTTGCATTTCCGTATCATATTCTCAGGATTCAGTATTTTTATTGTTGTTGCTATTCAGTCAATCAGTTAACCAAACGCAACGTAGAACATGCCCAAGTTGTCATACACCATTAGCACAGTAAGATGAAATTTTTAGGGCGAAATCCATAGTAGTAGAGGTGGTAACAGTATTAATGATAATTAAGAAAATTAGGCATCCAAGATACATATTCAATAATGTCCCAAGCATCTCAGCCAACTGCTTCACTCCCTATCCTCAGTGCCACTGTATTAATTCTTTCACTTTTGTTATTCACCTTGTCATCCTTCCAGTGACATGATAACTTGGGCCAGGGTATACATGCGAGTCTCTATGTTGGTTATTAACTAACTAACATCGTTGAGGTGTTTCACACTGGAAAGAAACACTTGTTCAGTGAGCCTCTTGATATTCAGTGGTATGCGAAACTGATTTCAATATGTAACAAGTAATGTCGCCTTCAAAATGAACTAGTCTCCATAAAAATTACCTCTAACCCGAAGTTGGTTTAAGAATGCACAACTTTTAGCCCAACAGATCACTAATGAAATAGTGAATGTTAAGAGATAAATAATCAGACTAATTTCATTGGTGGTTGGTTGAGTGATCTGTTAAAACTTGTTTCCCTCATAGAATTCACGAGATAAATAGTCAGTAAATAAAGAGATGAAAGCGCAAGCCAACAATGTAATATTATAAATGAATTTTCAACTGTTACATTAAACGGTTGAAGTACTGGTCGACAGATTATTTGTAATGATATAATGTAGTTGAGTGATGACTATGCATGAGACCGAGTCATTGAAGTAAGCCCCAAAATGAACCGATATCAGAAGGCAAAACAGCTGACTAGTAGAATAGGTTTTTTGCGTAATAAAATAACATGCTTATCAGCAAAATTGTTCGTGCAAAAATACAATGATTATATGGTGTATACGAGTGGAGGGAATCAACTTTGTGGGTCACTAGTATTTCGATCAACTAAAACTTTGCATATTATATCGATTTCAATGCTCAAGTAATTAGAGAAATAACATTCTCAGAATATAGTTTGTTCACTATAGTTTAGACAAGTTCCTAGCCTGACAGTTTCATATAAATTATCACACGTGATCCCTTTTATCATTAACAATCGATCGAGAATGACTATGCTTAAATTCGGTGTGCTATGTGTAAGGATAACCATCTTGTTTCACTGATTAATGAAAGTGATACAACTAGCAATTTTACGTTCATTTAGTGGGTCAGTACTACATATAGGAGTGTAATTTTCACTGGAGATTTCATTTCAATCATCTTAAGCTAACTATATATGTCTTCTTTGAATAGACTATTATAGCACATCCCAACTTGCCGGATTAAAAAAGTAAATAAAATGAAATTTACAGCTTCAAATGAAATGTCCAGTCAAAATTATGCTCTTATATGCAGCATCCACTTATTGAATGAACGGGAAAACGAGAGATATTGCAGACATAATGACCTTTGGAGGACAGATACGCTACAATGTCACGGACACGTATCTCATCTCATTCAGATCGCAATATTGTGAACTCTCTCCCACTCCCTTTCTCTGAAACATAACTCATATGTGCATCATTCATATTTGCGTCGGGAATAAAATAGGTTTGAGAAACCAAAAAATATTTACTTTTTGTTGCCATAACGAAGAAATCATTCATCCAATCAGGAACAGCTAGCGCATTCAATTTTACAGACAGATAATCTATGGGTAATAACTTTCCAAATTGAGATAGAGGATATTTCAAAACAAATAATGATCAATAGCCAGCAATTGAATCATCGAAATCAGTTTTGATCTAGATCAACTAATTTGTCTTTCAGATGTCGGTTTCCGATACCGACGGTGTCTCTGAAAAACTATGAAGTTTATAGTTCTCTATAGGACCGATAATAGTAATAATGGTGAAGAGACTATAATTTACGAAAACTTTAAGGCGATGCTCAAGTGACCTCAAGAAAATTGAACCGCTTACTAGATTAAATATAGGGTTGCACATAAGTGCAAGAAACTAGGTACGATAGTTACGTTTAGAAGTTAGGGTCAAAGGAGTAGAGTTAGGGTTTTATCACGAACTGACATTAACTATGATGCCAAAAATGTTGTTTGGTTATGTGGATGAATAAATTTCGCACCAAAATCCAAATATCTCCATCTTAAATTTGATTGGTTCACCCTTAAATTATAACCCCATTGATTGTGTAGTGTGTATAAACAATTATATTCCTTATTATTACTATTATTTTGTTTGTAAATCTGTACATAGTTAAACTAAGAATACTTTTAGAATATAGTTTTGAAGTTATATTTTAACTTAACTCAGTCAACTCATCCTCCATTGTTTGCTGGACAGAAATCTCCAAGTGTAAAGCATTCTAGACGAAATCTAACATCTTTACCAAATAAACTGACTTGACAAAGCGGGATACTGCAAGAAATGCCGAACAATTGAAAGTGTAAGGAAACCTTACTCTTCACAGGTTTTGCGACAGATGAATACCCACAACTCAGTCATTTAAGTCCTTATCATCCAACTTTTAATAACTAACCCAGCATGACATTTGGTCAGCATAGATTTTTTCGACGTTTTACAAATCTGTTGCTGTTATGAGGCAAACATGTATGTAAATCAAGTTTTTAGCTGCCAAACAACTTCCTCTGATAATTCAATATTACAGTTGAAAGCATAAGTCAATTGAAGCTAGACCACCAAGGAAAACCTGGAAGCACTGGACGGCCGTTTCGTCCTATTGTGGGACTTCTCAGCAGTCAGCATCCACGATTTCATGATTTCAACTATGAAAATACTGAAATCTCCACAAAACCCTTTCTGATAATAATTCAATATTAAACTGATAAATAATTAAAATGTTTATTAAAGAAGAAATTTATGAGTTCATTATCCATATAAAATTAGTACTAACCTGTTTAAAAGAATTTTCATCATCTAATGCATGTACTAAACAAATAACATTTGCCCGTTTAATCTCTGCACATAAATGTTCATGGGATTGAGTTTGTGCAGAATAATCTACAATCTGTGTAGGAATATGTTCAGGTGTTACATCCTCAGGAATTGTAATCTCTTCTGCATGTGCAGGTACCTGGATCAAATATAAACAAAAAGAAACAGATCAATAGGCACACATTTTAATGACAATGTAATTCAGCTATTCATTTCATTCAGAAATGATTCAGGTTTAAAGAATATAACCTGATGTGTTAGGAATCAAGCTACAGTAATCAAAATTACAGTAGAATCTAAGTTCAATTGTCTCATCGAATATTTTACCAGATTAGAAGATGCATAGTCAACTATTACAGTTCGACGTATTGGGTATTTTGTCAGGTTTACTCATTCCAAATTCAAATTGATTTAAACTACAAAAATTGAGCGCGCCATTAACTAAATGATTCAAGTATTTTTATTTTAATTTAGTCATTTATAAATATAATATTTAGCTTAGGAACTAGGGCGATTTTACTCAAGGTTAGTCATTTGTCTATTGAGTAATTTATAAGCTCATCATAAGCATAGAATGATACCTCTTTATGATCTAAACCAAGAACCAGATTGGACTGAATTTTACTGTTATATTTTACTCTAGATTATGAAAATACCTGAAAAACATCTACATCCTGACGTTCACTGACTATTCACAATTAACATTAGTTCATAATTTGAAATATCATCTAGTGAATAATTACTCATTTGTCAAGCACTTTTAAAAGTTATAACCTAACGATTTAAGCAATCGAATTTTAACCATTGAAGTCATTAAACAACGTATATAGCGTATATAGCCTCTGCCACCCAAGTCCTACTCACTGCCTTCTCATGGCATTACTGTTGTTTACGAAATTGAGAGGACGAAAAGCGAATGTCCGGCGCTTTAACCGGGTTGGTGGACACGGCGTGTCCATCTAGGGGAGTTGGAAAACCCTGATTCCAAACCATTGGTGTACATGGGCCCAGTATTCTGAGGGAACAAATAGCGTATGAACCAATCGTCGGTCACCGGCTACTATGGGACTGCATCTCCTCACGATGCTCCACTGCCTTGTGGATCAGATCTTTTGGTCAAAGGCTCGGGGTGTGGCCCCCTAAGAAAACCACCTGCTTCAGTTTGAGCACCTGGGCAGTATCACAGCCCTCACACAAATCGAATGAGATTTGTGCGGCGCATATGTATCTGGTGCTTCCTTGTACTAATATTTATGTGTTTAAATAAATTAATTAATTAATTAGGCAACGTCCTAAATTTCCCTGAATCCCGTCTAAGTGCTTAGATAACGTTAACATAGTCACATAAAAGTTTTGGCTAATACCATACAATTCATAAACCTATATACATGATTACCGACAAGTAACAAATAACATATTCAAAGAAGTCGAATATTGAGAACACTTTCATCAAAGTACTTATCATAAATCTGTCCCATGTTATAGAATAATGAAAATTTTCTCGCACAATCTGGCAGTTTAGTAAATACGACGAACGTAAAGGACGATTTTTTCAAGATGAAGTTATTACAATTAGATATTATTAATAAAACTAATAGACTTTGGAAGAGATAGTTTGTTTTAATTTAAAACTCGACAATAAAAATTTGTATATCTATAGTAACCAAACTTGTTGAAGTCTAGAATCATCCATAATATAATGTTATTTATTAGCAGTAGTAGTCCACTTCATTAGCAAACTTTATCAAACCAGATCTTGTTCAATTAAGTGGACAGTAGGTCAAACTTGGATCAATAAATATTGAAATAATAAACATTAAAAATTATTAAAATTGCATGACAAAAAATATGCAATTAATCAGACAATAAAGAATATAAACGGAAGGAGGTGAAGAACAAACAAACACAGGATGTAAAAAAATTATTTAAGTTATTTATTAAGTCATATCTTGTCAAGCAAGGGACAGGAGTGTCCCGAATATTTTTCTGAACACAAAGTTATAGTTTCGGGTCCCTATAGCTTCTACTATATGTAGGAGACAGGATTGAATCCCACCGGACAATGAAGAAGGTATACGATGGATCAACCGGAGTGACTTGATCTTACATACCATACGACTACTGTCAACCAGGTGGGCTATGATAGAGGTATGTATTGTCTTAGTTTGGCTTTTTTCCAAACCATGCAAGTAGATATTTACTCATTTGTTCCTTACGTTACTTGTTAGTAAGCCTGATATAGCTATTTCCACAAGAACAACTGAATTTGTGGACGCATATCAAGAAAAAAAACTGACGGCAACTTATCCTTTGTTTGAGTAGATATCGCTGGTCGTCTAGAAAATGCTAATGCAAGATTAATTGTATAAAAATACCCATTTAAATATTCGTGTTTATTAAAGTCTAATGATGTTCGCTTATATGTGTTGTTTTACTCTTCACAATAGGGATCTTTAATGACCAAAAAGCGACAAACGAATAAGAAATAACACTTCATCAACCACTCTATTTGTCAATATGAAGAGTTTCAAGAAATAAATACCTAAACATTAAGTTCATTGTTTAATGCAACTCATTAAATACAGGTGTTTATGTAATCGACTCCAAAGCTACATTGTATATGAGAGGTTTTGAAACTATAATACATACTGATTGAGAGCTAAGTGTTTTAAACCATTGGTATCATTAGCATCACTAAGTAGTGATCAAGGTTGTGTCTATACAGTCCTTTATTGTTTATGAAACTCTAATGACCAAGTTGAAATATAATCACTAGTTTACGTGACTCAACATTATATGCATTAATTTGAAGAGCTAGTTATTAGAGGAAGTCGATAGGAAACCCGGTTTTGAGAGAATTGATGTTCTCAGAAGTATTTGCAACTGTATCACCCAGTCTCACAGTTTGACAAGTTACACTGAACTATTCAAGGTTTCCTGTAGGCTATCATCTTCAACTACTTAACATTATCCAGAATATACATTTAAAAAAGTTGTTTTCTCTAACTATTCGATCCCAAGAAAAAGAAATTCAAGCATTTAGTTATGAAAATACTATTTGTAATTAATGGTTTCACTGGTAAATAAAAGAGTTTGAAAAATTTAGACAAGCAAACAAGAAAAAAAGTTGAGTAAACAATATCATCATATTTATACGAACATATTACAATAATAAATAGGATCTATGGAATACTTTTAATACGTAATGAGTGATGGAAAACATACGTTATCATTATTTTATACTTGTAGTGAATAATCTATCACTTAGATTAGGAATATGACAATTGTACTTGTGGCGAAATTATGATTATCTATTAATCTTTAAAATATTTGTTAATTTAACAAGACAAGTATACTAGTACAAGACTGAATTTCGTAATGTTGTATAAAGTGTATTCAAGTTAGTTAGTTAGTTAGTTAGTTAGTTAGTTAGTTAGTTATACACAACGTAGAACCTAGCACATATTTGTATCGGTTCAGGTTGTCACATTATAACAGTGTAGCCAGATCAAATTATTAAGACGTGTCATAGTAAATGTAGTAATAGAGTCAGTAGTATTAAAAAAGACCAGGCATATGCAATGCGGTTTGAGAAGAATAATTCCGTGGAATATAGTATGTATAGAGAGGATAATTTTAAAACTCAGTGTCTAGAGAAAGATAAAAACTGAATGCACTTAGGCCATTGAGACTGATTCTGAGCTAAATCACCCATCATCTCAAAACATTAGTTAAAATAATTGCGCAGACCTCAACCTGGTAGTTTGCATATAACAACAGGCTCATCGATTTATTTCGAAAGACAGAAATCCAAAAGGAAACTTTCCCTTCAAGTACATTGTAAAACATGCTAGACGAACTAATCCATTCAACACAAAAAACTTTTTAAGAATATGAATAGTCGGTGTATTAAATCCTAAAACCTTGTAAATTGTGGTCAAACATTTCCGATTCTAGTCCTTTTTTAAGAATCTCAGTTCGAGATTGACAAGGAAAATTAACGAGAAACTCTTTGTTTCAATTAGGTGGTAATTTTAATATAACACAATAATCAAGGATAGGTTTAAGTACTATGCATATTAAGCAAAGTAAAGCTAAGTTTTTAATACAAAACAGTAGTTTAGTAGTGAATAAAGGCTTGGTTTCCAACCCTCGGAATCTTCTAAAAGGATAAATTTTTAACTACTGCATACTCTAAGCAGCCTCGCATCAGAATACACTGAGTGGTCTATTTCCAACTAATCGGCTTTGGTTGACGAATTAAGACGTTAAGAGATTCTTACTGTAAACTCTACATAAACTTTATTGTTTTTGCTACCGTACCTCTGTTTGGGTTATTGGAATATGGATGTTATTCACTTTCTATCCTTCTGATTTTACGACATATCAAAAGTCCAGAGAATATAAAATAGCACAAGAACATAGCAGAATTCCATTCTACCCATTTCCACTTAAGCAGCCTGGTAATATTAGAAGCCATCACACAAAAAATATGGCTAAATGACGAGTTTATGAATCTATGCACTTGGTAGATGACTACCAATGATATTTCGCAATTGGATTTCAAAACGATTGAACAGATCAAAGAGAAGACTAAGGGGATAAATTCTGAGATTCTTAAAGCAAATTAGCGATTGACATGAATAAAGTCAGTTTACAATAGGTTATGAGTCCCATTTTGTGTGGAAATAAGGAACCTGTCCAACGCACTTACATGTGACGAAATAATCCACAATAACAATCATGACTGAAAGCTTGGCATACACAAAATTTTACCTAGAAACGAAATCGTTGTCTGAGACACGGATCTTAGATACAAACTAATTATTGAATGTTGGCCATTTAATTTGAATTAATTTATTACCTTAGTTAGCATAATGTAATCGATTCTATATCTGTCTGTGGATTAAACTAAGAGATTATAAACTTCTGACGTAATCGGCATCAAGTATCCGACCTGCCATTTACAATAAGCACGTGGTTGCCGATTTACTTCAATTTTAAAAATTCTTCATGGTTTATGACAAAATCTGAACAGAAATAGTAGTATCCATAGTTTTTAAGTCCATTAATACTATCATTGTATCGTTTGGAAAAAAATTAATGTAATTTATTTGATAAGCATAGATTTTATTGCTCAACTTTAACCCAATAACGCTACTGAGACGGAATTAGACAGGAGGCTTGGAACTAATTTATATTTTCTCATATTAAGTGAGTCAACTATATATGTTGATTAGTTCAATAACAAAAGTAACAATTATTTGACTTTTGACTAACCTTGGGCGAAAATTCCTCGCTTACTAACGAAAGAATAAGGGTTGTTTTGCCAACACGAGCTGAAAATTAGAAAACAGTACGCACATATGAAATAACAGAAAAACGATACAGAGCTGAGAACAAAATAAATTATTTGCCTAACCACTAGTACAAAAGATAATTGGAAGAGTCAGAATATGTTAAAAGTATTCATGTGAAACAATAAAGAGGGTAGATGAAGTGTCTTTTGGCTGTTATGCAAACTGATAAGTAACGTACGAATTAAAAGAAATAAACGAGCTGTATGAAATGGTATTACATATTTTTAGGCCATGTTGCTGGTATTAAAAAAACTATTGGTGGGTGGTGCCACACAGACGAAATTTCGAACGGTCCTACGAAGATGAGATTATTGTTAATGTCCTTAGTGAAGGTTAACAAAGTATGGGTTTACTAAAGGAACTACTAATGAGTGAAGAGGAATAAAATTCAAACAGAGGTGTGTCGGTAGTAAGGTGTTTCTTTCAGACAAACAGCATAACAGCGATACTGCCTCCCCACAAGGAAGGGTGGGGTCAGAAAAGGTCGAGCCTAAAAATGCTCACCTCGCCTTATCCCACGGACTTCCGTCTCCCGCGGTAAGGCCCCAACAATTACGAAGCTGACACAAAAATTACTCGCAAAAAGGTCATGTGTGACTGGCCACAAGCAGCTGTCCCTTGAGCACTGCGGTCACGCTCAGGTCACTGAGACCACCTCTAACCCAATTTCACTTTCAGGTACCTCTAGAAGAACCGTTTCATAGTATGAGCGACTGAGAAGTAATAACTACCTTCATACCTCTAACAGCACTCAAGATCACTGACTGACTGACTTCAACTAGGTCAGACACCAGATCATAATACACATCCAATTTTCCCTATTTCCTTTGTCCCTATCTATTTTGCAGGCTAAAATATTTGATATCATCAGTCGTCGGAAATCTAATCTTACACTTATTATTTAAGTTCAGACTACGCTAAACAAGCAGCACAAAATCTGGAGCCTCGCGTGACTTACTGAATTAAATAATGTTTACATACATCACGGATAGACTAAAATCCAAAGCAACGTTTAAATTTAAAGATTATCAAATTTGTCTGTTCAAACGACCCTGCTAGTCATTAACTAAAGACAAACTACATGAAGTGTTATTTAAGTGCCGATGAAAAGCATAATAAGAGACTAATGGGTGAATACCTTGGGATTAAGGGGAAAACTTCTTGCAACACAAACAAACGATGAATGGGAATCGCAAGTAGATTTTTGGGCGAGACTATAATTTATGAACTAGCCAATCAGGTATACAACAACTGGTCCCGGATTTTGGCGCGAAATTCACTCAACCGTTTTGCTAAATGGAGTTTTCGCACTATAGTTGGTGTTAGTTCGTGATGAAAACCCAAAATCGAATGTCTAACATTAACCATAAACTCTAAATCATAATTCTAATTACTCACACTCTTTATTAACCCTCATTTGGCCCTTCTTATTAGGTGGACACTCTGAGGGTCACTTTATAGTCGCTCAAAAACCGTTCATAAATTATAGTTTCGCCGTTCATGAAATTATGAACTGCGCTTCAAAATTGCTCCTTAAGTTTTCAAATCAATATTCACGTCTCACATGATCTCAGTATTTAGGCAAACTTCTAAGTATGTCAAATACAACAGACAAGGAAAGGGTTACTGAAAAATACATTGCCCAAGATACTTACGTTCCCCAAGCAACAAGATTCTTACTGCTGAAACACCTTGTGACATTAACAAACTAATCCACCAGATGAATAACGTTAATTCGAGTAGCGTCAATCACGAAAACACGCTTTCGACATGCGAAATTCAATAGATCTCGGATTAATGATTCAGATTAGTGTTGTAAGGACAGAAGGCCTATGGCTCATACCATCCCTTTTCTTTTCAGCTTCTCAGCGTCTAATCTTTTCCTGAATTAGTTAAGTTAATGTATGGACACCACTGCTTCGAGTAACAGATTCCAAGGATCCATTATTCGGTGTGTGAACCCGTATACCACTGGTATTTTGTTCTTTCTTGGCTTTTCTACTTGCCTGCCATATCTTCTAAGCTATATCAATCTTGTAGTAATAAAAAGGAAATGTATACCACATCGAAAATCATTTCTTAGTATTCTATATATCAAAGTCAGATCACCTCTTAGTCTTCCGTAGGACAGAATGAAAAGGTCTAGCTTTTCAAGCCACTCTTTGTATGGTAAATCTCGTAGTTCTGAAATTTCATGGGTAACTGTCCTCTGCATATTTTTCTTGATACCTGGTTTACTTTTAAACAGGGCCTTGCAGCCTGGATGCAGTTTTCAAGATTAGTTTTCACTAAGTGTGTGTATGCCGTAGTAGCCATAATAATATCTAACTTAGTGAATATCCGTCTTGAAGCCCATAGGGTTTTAACCATCTTGGTTGCAACCTCGTGAAAGTGGGACGTGGTTTTGAGATCATGACTCACTGTCATCCCTTGTATCCCCAAAGTTCATGTAGACAACCTTGGCCGTGTTGATTGAAATCAGCCACTTTGTAGACCAGCTAATTAGAATATGTAAGTCTGTCTGAATTGCGCATGCATCTGTGTCTCCTATCATGTCTCGCCAGATTTTTACATCAAGGTGTAGTAGCATTGAGGACCCAACTATACTTCGTATTTCATTTACATACAGTATAAAAAGTAAGGACGTCACATTTTTACGCGTAACACTTTTATAATCGAATTATACCAACCCAGTCAAGCAGAAGTCAGAAACGAAGGAATTCGAAGATATTTCTGAAGGGTGATGGATATATTGGGATGCGTTTAATCTAAGCTAGCTAACAGGGTGAGACTATAATTTATGGACGATGCTTAGGTGACCTTGAGAATGATCGCTTACTGACCAGGACCAAATGAGAGTTATACACCAGTGTAGCCGACCAGAATGTTCAAGTTAACTTGGAGTCCACATTCATTCTGCATCCTCAGTCATCAGCCTGAGGTATCATCAAGGACTTCACGAGATACTGGAGTTTCTTTATATATAATATGAAAGTTAAAGTACCTGGCTCAAAGTCTCGAGGTATGCCACTAAGTACTGGTTTCCATGAGGAACCTTTAGAAGTTATTATTACTTTCTATCAATGACTTACCAAAAAGGTTGTGGCCCGTTTTAGAGGATGTCCAGCAAATCCTAGGTGTTCCATACACTAAAGAAGCTTACCTAGCGGCACTTAAACGAATGATTTCCCGAATCGAACATAGACAACGTTTATAGCAGATTGAGTTGAGCTACCGAGAATTGGCTGAGATCATCCTATTGAGATTAAAGCATTATCACCAAACTACTAATTTATTTTCTCATTTCGTGTGAGGATTATATTTCCTATTATCCCCTATTGAATGTTGAAAAGTTCGTGTGCTTAGGTCAAGACCTCGCGAGCATGTAATAAAAGCCTACTGAAACTACCCTATAAACCTTTGGTACATACCGTACCAGGGATAAATATCAGCCTAATAAGTGATGAGTACGACTTTATGGTGATGAGCGAAAAATACTGTTTTGTATACGCTTCCAAAAATAAATCTTCTGTGAGATTGATAGTTTTATCTTTGTTTTAATATAAGTTTTAAACATCTTTATCTACACATTTTTCGTGTTGGATTCATCTTCCCTCGTCTATATTTTACTAATACACTTACCCTACACCATAAAATGTCAGATTCATTTCAGGGTGAAGAACGGTCAAGTCGGAATTATTTATCACCAGCAGAGATGGACGTTATTATGACTTCGAAATCCCGACTCCCAGAATTTTGTCGTATTGACTATGGGTTGTAGTTTAACCGACTGGAGCATCGCTTCACGAGGCACAAAATATAATCTGAGAAGATTTGATACCGATATTTATGCTCTGCGCCCCCTTCTTTAGTTTCTAATGAAGTATTTGACGTTTTCTGAATTCCACAACCGTACGCAACTTTAAGACATGGTACTATAGATCATCTGTCTTTAGCAGAAAGTCAAAAATCTAAAGGCCTTTTCGAGGTTAAAAATTAGGCTGTAAATAGCTAACACAGTTCTTACGTCACCTCCAAATCTTAATGGGAGACAAAACAACTAGGAGCATCCCTAAGACAATAACTGATTCAAGCCCTTCCATTCTACCTCCAGCGCTATTTGGATGCATAAGACCCGAGCATCTCTTGGCCTCATTAAACACGTATTCCAGATAGAAAATGAAGAGAAATCCCCTAACCGAATCATGTACGATAGACCACACACTATAGGAGGAATCACCAAAAGACCCAGTCAGAAGAATCTAACGTGAGTGATAAACATCGTCCACAGACTTTCACCAAAATACAAAGAGATCATATAAAATGGATCAGGTCACAACAATTACCAAGGTCCAGGTCACAGAACAGGTCATAAACGCCCAGACAATCTGGATTGTTCTGTGACTACTAGTGCACGTGTGGTGCCAAATCAACCAGGTGTAGCCAACCATATACCTGGCCAAAAAAGATTCACAAGAATGGTAGATGAATAACCCATCCATAAGTCACAAGGTACCATTATGACCAACTTACGGGTTTTCTACATGTTTCCAAGGAAATGGAAATAACAACCCAATACGTTCACTGATTTTCCACTATCAGACGAAGCCAACCATCTGTAATCTGGTATGAGGTTGTTTTTGCAAGGTGGTCCTTTTCTGAGACCCTATTATCCATTCTTTCCATTAAAGTCTCAATGGACAATTGTATTCATTTTTCCAGTGTTTTAAATACGACTTTGATGAGACTAACAGGTATGGAGTTTGATGGGATTTGTGTCCCGTGAATCAGAGCGACAGCTTCGTCCTTCAAGTCCGTACGTAACTGAATCTCATTATGTAGCATCCTGAATACGGTAGTAGGCAGGTTCGCAATATACGGTGCGATTTGTATCAGGATTTCAGGGTGTGGCTCATCCGTCTATGTTTCGTTTTGTATCAACATAGCCTAGTGCCTATAGCACACCGTCCCACTTTATGTTCGCAATAAGAAGCCAATTTGACGACATTGGTTCTAATCCTAATTCTTAGTCGAGATGAGGCTCATGAGTGAAAGCCGTTCGGAATCGACCAGTCTTGGCTTATGCTTCGTCGTTGTCTTCATCTGACGTTTGGGATGCATCTACTTACCTAATAAAACAATAAATACATGGGTATTTCCTTTTTTCACAGTCCATATATGAGAACAGTCCCTTCTGTTGATAAATTACATATTACAACCACCGATTTCAAAATCTCGGATAAGTTGCACGGATTTCGATTCCACACTTGTTTCGGATCGACAAGTAAAGTTCCATCGCATTTACTCTGCTAATACTGACAGCAACTTTCTATAGTCTCTCCTTTTGTTTAAGTAAACGACGAATCTTCTGGTATGTTAGGGGTTGTCCGTGAGTTTTTTGTTTTTTGGGCTGTCTGTGATACGAATGTTAGAGTTTCTTAGCGTCATATAAGCCGGAGGTTACTCCATGCCCCTTACACTGATGTATCCGAGTCGACTTTCCAGTCTCCAGTCGTGAACATAGAGTAAACCGTCTTCGCCTTTAATTTCTACGTATTGATATGGAAGAGGGCAACCGCTTGACATACCATATAAGAATTGAATCTGAAAAAACTGACCGCACGATCACTTCTCCATATTAGTGGTGGTGACCTTTTTGACTAGCACTACCGTCAATGAGGTCGTCTCTGCATTTACCATTTTTGACCTTCTCCAGGTGTTGATTTTATAGGTTAATCTCAGTTTTTATTTGTCCAGCTTACAAAATCATGTGGTTAGGAGACCACGACACTATAGGATCGCTAGTTTGTAGTGCAGTGCTTCGCTAATCTTTCACATCGATAACCATTATAATACAAGTCTCAACGGTGCATGAAATCAGAAGGCAAGGAGAAGCTGTAACTACAGTTTATTATCAAACGACGTAGGCCACAAATCTACAAACACATGAGTTAGTATCAGCGAGCAAAGCCAAAATAACGCACATTGGAGATAGCGGGTATGCCAACTCATTTTAATCAAGCGTTAAACAGTATTTATAGTCAAATTGCATAAGAGCGCATCAAGACAAAGCAAAAGCTAGTAATAGGACTTGAGTGCATGCATATATGGGAAGGAGGAGGAATCATCGAATGGTATTTAAGCAGCCAACGTTTTGGCTATGGTCCGTCATGTGCCCTGGTGATCATAAAAGTGCTAAGGTATATGCGAATTGTTGCAACCCAAATGACAATGTCTGTTAAGTAAGTTAATAGAAGGCCTAAACCAAAACTAACCATAGTCGAAATTGGGTGTAGGATAGTTGCTATAAGTATTGTAGACTTAAGGTAGGGGAATCGTGATCTTAGTATGGCTCTTTAATTGACTCCAATTAAGCCGTATTATGCTTGCCGTCGATTGAATGATTGCTATTGACCATCGTCGTATATAATTATCGACTTAAATTGCGTTAGTGACAAGCGGAATTAAATATGTCAAGTACGAGGCTGAAGTTCGTATGCGTATGCTTCACACAAACATCGATCCAAAGAGATGATCGGAAAAAAGAAGCGGAAAAAGCAAAGAGAAGAAAGGAAAGAAACGAGCCGGAGAAGGCAGGTGAACCAACTCTATTTGACAGAGCGTCACATAATATTTATATTCAAAGAAAAATAATTTACGGACACATGATGAATAGGGTAAGCAGCTAACACAAATACGATCATATAAAAAGAGCATTCAGGCTTAATAAGTGAACAAGTAACAGATTGGTGTGCTCTGGGACTAGAATAACTTATATATAACTTATATATAATACCAGACCTCACAGAGTTGAAAGAAGCTTGAATTATACGATCCTTCTGAAAACCCTATTCACCAGTTAACCAAGTTTACAGTGCGCTCATTTAGGGCTTGTAGAATTATGGTCTACTTCTTTATCAGTACTGCTCTAGTAATAGACATCGTATATTTGTCATGGTGTGAATACCTAATCCATAAGATCATACATGGAAGTCACATCGTTATCTACACTGGCTCATCCTGTCGTAAGAATCACCAACATATGGTAGAGAATACATTCGGGCTGGAGATCGAACAATATATTTGATATGAGTAGAAGAGATAAGTCAACACAAAACAATGACTCAATAGAATCCGATTTTCCAAATTAGACACCGGGAGAAATTCAATATAAGTCCCGCCAACTGAAGGCGCTCACTCACACACCCGCATCAGATTATGAGTCATACAACATGCCACGCATCTCCAGTACCTGCTAGTTAGCCTACACCAAGAGCTTCTCGTCATATTGTAGTGCCGCGATTCGTTAATCGTTTACTTCGATAACCGTTATAATTCTATTCTCAACGATGTGTAAAATCAGAATACAAAGGATAGCAGCAACTACAGTTTATTGTCGAATAACTCAGGTTAGAAATTTAACAACACCTGAGCAAATATTAACGAGCGAGCGGCAAGCGAGAGAGCGAGTGTACAGGCGAACAAGCGAAGGAAACGAACGAGGGGCAAGAGAGCGAATAGCAAGCAATTACATAGGCAATTTATAGTCAGATTTGATAAGGGCACAGCAAAGCAAAGGCTGATAATAATATTTGCGTGCATACATATAAGGGTGAGGAGTATGAGTCATCGAATGATATTTAAGTAGTCAACATTTCGGATAGAGTGTCATGTGCTCTACTGGTATAGCAGTGCAAAGAATATGCAAATTGTTACTATTCAAATAACGATGTCCGTTAAGTAAGTTATAAAAAAGGGCTTAACTAAAATTGGCTATAATCGAAATTGATTGTAGGATGGTTGCTATAATATCAACAGCTTTACATTTATATCTTCCAACCATTTTTATTTCTGACTTCTGGTTTAACTGGATTGGTGTACTGTGATTATAAACGTTTTACGGATAAAAACTTTGTCACACTCCGAAAGCCGTGACATCTTTAGTAATAATCACGTGATATGATATATTAAATGGTAAACTGTGTGTCTGCTCTCTGCTGTAACGTTATACATCGTTTTTAATCTCTATTATTACATACGGTGACATTACTTTTGCTTTTTCGGATATTTTTGCCTATTTGCATATTTTATCTTTATTATGATGGAACAGAAATCTAAAATTTTAAGGATCGAAACTCTTTCCTTCCCATCTTTGACTCATTTCATTCTGTCCCGGCAATATAGAAGCCTAATCGTGTTTCGTATGAGCTAATTTCCACGGGCACGGCATGATAGCCCAACATACACAATTATTCTCAGTAGTGAGGGCACTAGTAGGCATGTCATAACTAGTATCTTTACCATTGATATCTCTGAATTTTGTGAAAGTTTAAAAAAGGCTATCTCTCAACATGGAGACCTAACCATACGATAAAGGTTAGACCAGCGTTTTTATAGCATTGAGTTGCAACATGACACTGCTGGTTGCACACAATAATTAAGGTCTCGTTTTTTTAAATTCTGGGCACTTGTCGAGTGGTCGTTGAAAGTACCGATCAACTATATGCTCAACCGTAACTGCGCATAAGCTACAACCAGGAAATGGAGTTCCGCGGACAGATAATTTAGTATTTCCATCTACTGACATCCGCTGGTGATGAATAGATTACGGTGTTTTAGCAGGTCTTTACGAATGACTGGCATAGGAACATCTGCAACGACAGAAATAAAGTGGACAGGTTTGAATAAACCCACGTTAAGACAAACAGATCGCTTACCGTATGTGAAGAAACGTTTCTATTTGCTACTTATAAGCTGAAAACGGTCCATGCAGACGGTCTTCAGTATTCGCGGGAAAGCTTACTTCTTCGCCAGTGTTGACGAGATAACGAGATTTCTTCACTATCTCAGTGATTCATCAAGCAGTAATCCAGAACTTCTTAGACTTAGTTTACTCTTATGTGGAGATTTTATAGTGGTTCTTTAGCTCGTCAAACATATTGAACATTAAATTAGATGCCTATGATACTTTAAAAACTAAAGATTGATGTCATCTATAGTTCATTGGCGAATTCCTCTCTCATTATGTTTCAATTGATCTGTCGTTTATTTGACATGTTTTCAACATTTCAATTCTCATTTGTGTATTTAGGGTAGTCTTACCGCGGTGATTCAACTACTGGGTTACTCGTTGCTCTTCGCATAAATTACATCATCAAGGTTTTGATGAAGGTATGCGATTTTCAGCGAAACAAGGCTTTTTACACAAGACTGAAAATATTACACGTGAATATCAGCAACAAGCATTGCATTCTCTGTTTTTATGTCGTCAGTAATCTGGACACAATATCCCAACCTCCGGATTTTGGGGGGATGATTTTTATCCGTTTTGGAAAGATGTTATAGAAGGCACTACAGACTATTTTGAGGAAATGCGATAGAAACCCAGTAAAACTACCTAGCGCTGGAGATTTTCCTCAAAATTTCAAGTTATTTTTGGGAAATTCTCAAAAAAGTTTGGGGAAAATTAGAGTTTTACCCAACATCGAATTTTATACACATTTGTGTAAACTTCCTCCGAATCAGCAATCATATGTGATTGCGTTCTTATTATTTCGAAAGTATCATTATAACTCACTACATCGTAGACCCGTACACTCTTGGCTCAATCAAAAGTTTTTGTCACACGTTTTATGCAAATAAATCCAATCTCCCAATTGTGTGCAAATTACTTGGAACTGCTGGTTTCTCCTCAAGCTCACATGAAGATTCGTATATTTTTGAACTCCGGAAAATTTCTGGTTTTTCGCATTTCCTCAAAATTTTCTGTTGTGGCTTTCCCAAAACATGAAAATTTTCCCCAAAATCGGGAGATTGGAAATGAATGTTTTCTGACTTCTTAAAATACAATAACTGAACCCAAAGCACTTTATTTACTTAACGTTTATTAGCAGTGTATTTTAAGGAAACAGTTTCGGCACTATTGTTAAGCTGTTGATCCATATTTATCTAAAAGATAACATAACTGTGACTTTTTCATGGGACTTTATTGTTTCATGTCATTATGTACATGTTCAGTCAGTCAGTCACAACGTAGAACTTCGTACGTACGTACATCAGTTCGAGTTGCCATACCACATTAGCACACAGATGCAGTTGTCGATTCAAATCCCATAGTGGAAGAATTAGTAAGAGTATAAGCAGTAATCGGAAAGATTAGAGTTTGAAGATGTTATTGAAGGAGTATAGTACAGTGAAATATATTTGGAAGGAGAAAAACATAAAGACATGAGAAATTCAGAAGATTAGAATTTGGTAGAACACAAAGAGTGGATGCATCTTCGCCATTGCAAACGATTTTGAGCCATGTCATTCAAGGTCTCTAACCATCGGTTGCTATCATCTCGCGAATCCCAACCAGGTAGTCTACACTTACCAACATGGCCCAGTCCACTTGTCAGTGACTTCATTGATTTGTGCCACGTTTTGGTCTGGCCACCCCTAGCTTTCTTCCAACCTACTCCTACACCATGAAACATTGCACGTCGGGGCAGTCGGTGGTCGGGCATACGTAACACATGTCCCAGCCATCTCAACTGATGAAGTTTCACTACTTCATCAATCGATTTGCCATCCCTACCTAGTACTCGTTTCCTAACAACTGCATTACTTACCCGGTGGTCCCAGGATATACGAGCAATGCTTCGAAGACACCTATGATCGAACACTAGTAGCCTACGAATATCCTCTACTCTTACCGGCCATGTTTCACTTCCATAAAGTAGGACGGAACGAACTGCTGCACAGTAAACCCGTCCTTTGGTTGCTAGACGGATATCTCGCCTACGCCACAAATGATGCAAGTTGGCAAAAGCTAGACGAGCCTTCTGTATCCGTGCTGAGATTTCGTCAAACACCAGACCACAAGGGCTGATGAGACTCCCAAGATAAGTGAAGTGGTCTACACGCTCAACTACTTCACTCCCTATCATTAGTTCAGGTGTCGCTGCAACCCAATCCTGAAGTAACATTTTGCACTTCGAGGGAGAGAATCGCATCCCGAACATGCCTGCATTGTTGCTTATGGTGGTCAGAAGACTCTGCATTTTGTCAGCGTCTTCACCGAGTAAAACTATGTCGTCGGCGTATTCTAAGTCAACAAGTGAGCCTCCCGGTAAGAGTTCAACTCCTGGAGGCTTAGCTGATGAAAGTGCTGTCTCTAAAAGTATGTCAATGACAAAGTTAAACAAGAATGGGGAGAGTGGACAGCCCTGACGAACTCCACTTGTGGTAATCAGTTCTGATGACAATTCGCCATAGGCTCTAACTCGACCAGTTGTGTTCGAGTAGAGAGCCTTTATGAGGTTAATGTACTTCTTTGGTACTCCTTTCAGTGACAAACATTGCCATAGAACCTCACGATCAACAGAGTCAAATGCCGCCTTAAGGTCAAGAAATACTACTATTGTGGGACGTCTGAATTTGTGTCTATGTTCTAGAACCTGACGTAGGGTGAATATCTGGTCTATGCAACCACGTCCAGGTCGAAAACCAGCCTGGTTTTCTCTAGTCTGCTCTTCACGAGCTTTGGTTAGGCGACCTAGTATTATTGAAGCTAATATTTTAGACACTATATTAGTCAAACTGATCCCTCTGTGATTGTCACAGGAGGACTTTTGTCCTTTCTTATAGACTGGCACAATCAGTGATTGGGACCAGTCAGATGGAATTACGTCCAGTTCCCAGATTCTACCTAAGACCTCAGTCAATCTCACTGCTAGTACTGGACCACCATCCTTAAAAATCTCAGGGGTCAACCTGTCAGGGCCTGCTGCTCTCCCTCGCTTCAGATTTCCTATAGCTTTTTCAACCTCACAGAGGGTTGGAGGACTTACGTCAATTTGCCATTCAGGACGACTGGGGATCGTGGGTAATTGAAGCGTGGCTGAAGGCCAGTTGAACTGATCCCTAAAGTGTTCTGCCCATCGATCCAATCTCCTGGATTGAGAATGAATAATATGCCCATCTCTATCTGAGATGGTTTCACTGATATTCGGGTTCCTAATGCCGGTTTCTTTAACGAGTCTGAATAGCTGCCTACTGTTACCTATTGCCGCTGCCTTTTCCATCTCTCTTGCTTTCCCTACCCACCACTGTTCACGATCATTACGTAGGCTTCTTATAAGCCTGCGCTTAAGTTGACTCCGCTCTTCGTTATGCTCAGAGCCAGGTGGGATGAGTTTACGAGCATCTATCAGTGCGGAAGATGCTGCCGAGATCCATTGTTTCTCCCTAACGTTATGGTTTACCTTACTAGCGGACATCACTGCTGTTTCCACAGCTTTTCGGATGTCATTCCACGCTGCCTCGGGGTGGACACAACTTACATGGCTGCCTAACTGTTTTTCTAGTTGTTCCTGATATATATTCTTAGCTTGCCTATCATTAAGTAGAACCCTTAGAGGCTTCCCTGCAGTGTCTTTCCTACGACCAGTTAGACGCAGACAGATACGTGCTCGCACTAGAGCATGATCTGAATCTAGACATGTGCCCCATAATGAGCGACAGTCTTCAATCGAGCCCCTCCATCGGTGGCTGATAGCGATGTGATCTAATTGGGTCCAACGTTGGGACGAATTCGGGGGTCGCCATGTCAAAAGATGTTTTTCCTTATGCTTAAAGTTAGTATTTGCAAGAAATAGGCGGTTATCTGAGCACAGCTGCAACAGACGGTCGCCATTATCTGTTCTTTTCGCCATGACACCATAAGATCCACCCAGGTGTCTTTCCCTTTCACTTAGTTTACCTACTTGAGCATTAAAGTCACCTGCTACTATTACAACATCAGAACGCCTAGCTTCTCGGAGAAGGTCAGAAAGTTTCCTGTAGAACTCATCTTTTATATCGTCTGAGCTGCAGTCAGTGGGAGAGTAGGCAGAGACGACGAAGAGGCAACGACGAGTTTCCCTATCTTTCCGGGTCCTTACTGATCCGTTTAGTCGGACAGCGCATAGACGACTGTCTACTGGGATCCAGTCTAAAAGAGCTAGTTCTGCCCTAGGACTTAATGCTATACCTACTCCAGCGAGGCCACGGGAAGCAGCGTCAGGGCTTCCAGATACACGAAGCGTGTATCGAGATGAAACTTTATTTTGATTAGGTGAGGTCAAATGAATGGCACTACTCGGATCTTGTATGCGCGTTTCGGAGACGCAGCACACATCGATGGTGTAAGATTCTAGAGTCCTAGCTAAGGAAGCCTGTTGTCCTATTTGGCACAATGTTCGGACATTAAAAGTTCCTATATGTAGTTTAGAGCGTGGTTTCAGGAGACCAGAAATAACGTTCTGTGTACTCGAATCGTTTGCCCTAGCGGTGCGAGGTGATAAAAGGACGTGGGAAGGGTTAGTCGTGGAGATAACAGAGTTATTAGGAGGTGTAGGAAGGATTTGAAAGCGACCAACTTGGTCTTGTGTGCAGCTAAGGGTATGAGGGCTAGTATCACTTCCCGGCTGCCCACACCGTGGAAGGGTATTTCTTGAGGGACCTGAAAAAGAAGTTGGATTAGTGTTGGTCTTAACGACCTGGGTGCGTGACCGCAGTGCCCAAGGGACATCTGCTTGAGGCCGGTCACGCACGGCCTTTTTGTGGGGGATTTTTGACGTGTTAGCTCCGTTCTTCAAAAGTCCTTACCGCCGGAGACGGAAATCCGTGGGATAAGGCGAGGTGTGCATTTTTAGGGTCGACCTTTTCTAACCCCACCCCTCCTTGTGGGAAGGCAGCATCGCTGTCATGCTGGTTGTCTGAAGGAAACACCTTACTGCTTTCACACCTCTGTACAGTCAGCAGTACGACTTCGCCTTCGGACCTTGGGATTGCTGCTTTTAGTCTCACCGCTCTTCAATCGACCTGTCTGGCATGGTAGGACCTTGAGGAACGATTGTTCCAGCCAGCATAGCTCGATTGGATCATCACGATAGGCAAGCCCGACCACCACGTCAAGGTAGCAGCAACGGTCGAGTGTTGTTTTTGGACCGAAGTACATTACTAGTGTGCTCACTCACTAGTCCATACCATAAAAGTTGGTTGCATCGTGTACTGTTGTGCCTCAACTTTGGTTACAGATAAGCGGTCAAACCAACATTATCTTAAAAGTCGCTGCCCTAGTTGACTATCTATATGCATTCGTGATTATTATAGTCACTAAGATTATCAATAATCTTAAATGTATTTAACGATTTCCTTATAGACAAGAGTAGTATGTACAGTTTTGGACAGTGAGGGTAGTCTCCATATTTTCCACAAATACAGTTCAAAGCTTGGTTACTGAGTTGCATTGCAGTTACAGTTTGTTTAGGTACTCGTTTGCCAATGGAAACTATGTGACTTATTATCTTGTGATGACGGTATTTATTCCTGTTTATGTGAACCAGCTTATTTGTCTTTTATGTGATCCTAATATTCTTATGCACATCCATTTATTTTTAGGAAAGGCTGATGCGCTTGAATTTGTGCCCATGTTATTTTCGTTTGTTCCGCAGTTCATGTATACAACCCCATAGACTACTTAACGTAAGTTGTATCAACTGTAGTGGTGTTAGAAGTATTTATTATTTGGTGCATACATTCTTTTCCAAAGTTTCATCATTAATTAATGTTTCTTTAAACTAAGTTTCTATTATAAACCATTACTAATAAATTTGTCATCAGACATCACGGAATTTCAGACATTTTTTCATAGTTGTCATTTCGGCACAGATTTTTGTTTATCACACCACTATACTGAAGCTACATCATTGAAAATCTGGTCGCTTAAAGTGTGATATGCACCAGGCTAGCACTAGGTTGAATGCAAGAATACCTTAGTATGCCGGAAACTTCATTTACGATGTCTGAAATAACATGCCAACGCGTGCACCAATTTCCCACACCACTTTAAGTTTGTAATAGGAATAAAAGTGATGTCTCATGTTGTCAGGTGCTAACTATTTGTTGTGATACCCAAATAACCAAGACATGTACCAAGTATATCATATTCCTCAAAACGGGACCATTCGGAGTAAGATTACGTTAATTGCCGCAAGGAAAGCTTGGTACAGTAGAGAACTAAGAAATGTGTCACAAAAAATTGATATTGTGTAAATATTTAGCAGGGAAAAAACCATATAATCAGTTCGTAAATCTAGAAAAGAAGCAATATAAAGCTTAGTGAAGGGTATATAAACGATCAATGCAACCTTATAGTCCCTACACCAAATTGAATGTCCTTTACATTTCAGACTTTCATGGATTTTGCGCAATTTATGGATTATGTCGGGAGCGAATATTTTGAATTTAAGCTTATACTCCAGTAATTATGACGTGTTTTGCATAGCTCATCTTTGTGTACAACAGTCCTCACTTTAAAGTGTTGAAGCACCTCTCAGACCGCAAGTCTTTTCAATCACTCCATCCTATTTTCTAACCAGAAATCCGCCTCCATTAATGGGGAATCGTGTGGGTTGGCTGACAAGGATTTAAAAGTAGTCACCAGCCAAAATGTATAAGACACTTTGGTTGAAGTTACTGTGTCAATGCAACACATGAGTTATCCTTCAAACGGCTGTATGACTTTAATCGAAATCATTATTTTAAAATCGGTGGATGTGATGAAGGGAGAGGAAAATCCTCCGCTTCGGAAATCCCCCGTATATCCTAAGTCTGGAAGCCAAAACTCAAACTTTTGCCTTACTCGGCAAGGCTGAATGCTCTAATCACTAAACTACTGCCCCACGCTGTTTCTGGTGTTGAGTAAGTGGAGGTCATCAGCAGCGTAATGTCTTAAATTTAAGTCTTGTTAGACTTTGGTACTGGTCATTAAAACGCGTTAAGATTAATCCTAACTTCAGCTACGTTATATCCTCGTCACAAATTGCGATTTCGATATCTTTTCACTTTCCGTTTAACCAAACAATCAAAACGCAACAGTACTAACGTTGGCTCTCTTTGGTCAGACTAACAATTTTCATCCATCAATTTCTAAAATCATATTTTCATTTTTTATGACAATTGTGTAAGTGTGAAGGTTTACTTTCTTCTTTAATTGTTACTGCATTTTTTCTAATAGACCAAACAAAGTTTACAATTAGTTACGGAAAATCCAACCTCTAGTTGGGTTTCTATCAGTGGACAGTCTACTGTCAAAGATTCTTGGTATAACTTAACTCCTCATATAATTGAACTTACAAAAAGGTCGTTGCATAACCAACAACATCATCCTTTAAATTTGATTAAACAACGTATCGTGGACTTCATGTTTAAAGTAAGTATTAACGTTCTATATTGAAAACTGCTACCTACGTTATCTCTCCAGTAGTATACATTTTAGAGTTGGTTTATTAAAACAAATCTTTTACTACTGTATTTCTTCGACAAATAACATACCGGACTTATACCTGCAGCCAATATCGGTTGATTTGCGTCACTATATGTTGTTCTTCTGAAACCTGTGTAGTTTTTACTCGTATTTCAGTTCAACATACCTACTTCGATTGTTCGCCACAATTTCTTACTGGGCACTCCAAGTTTATAAGTGAATCTACTTTTAAGATATTAATTCCTAAAAAGCAGACAGAGATTTTTACACTTCTTTGGTGCACCGTTTATTGTAGTTGCTGCCACAAAACCTGCTGATCACTTGCGTCAAATACAGTCCTAAAGTCAAGAGGCACAACCTTAGTTGAGTGTCAGTAATTGTCACTGTGTTCAAAAACCCGACAAACGATAAACATTTAACCTACAGATCACGTCCAGGTCTGAAACTAGCCTGGTTTTACCAGGTTTGTTGCTTATAAGCTCCAAGCAAGAGTCGATTGACTGTGACTGCTAATATCGTCGACATAATATTAGTCGGACAGACTTCTCTATGGTTTTCACAAAAAAATTTCCAACTCTTGTAATGAACTAGCCAGCCTTCGCAGCCGCTCTTGTGGAATTACATTTAGCTCCGATATTCTTGTTTTTTGTCTCTTCAAATCAATTAGCTAATTTTTGGTATTAAATCATGCTTACCGCCAAACTGTTAGAACTATAGTTCACAATCGTTGTACATAGCTTATTACTATTATAAAGTGGTGTATACCTTTAAAACCTTTCAACAACTACACCTATCACTTAAAATACTTAGGTTTATCAGGTAGAATAGGGACAGAAGTAGGTTATAAGTAAGATCAAGGAGCCAAAACCACATAAGTTCATCAAGTCTTCAATTGTTACCCTTTGACATATATGTAAACTTCCTGCCTAAGATAGGTCCATATGATCATTGTAATTGGTGTCTGAAAAACGGGCTACATGGTTTAGAAACAATCATAGTGCCACAAATGTTTTCTTCCAAATCGGTAGCTCTAATATTATCTCACACGTTTCGTCCCCTCTTTTCGAACTACTTCCTTCATGTCTGTTTACTCTTAATAATATTACCATCGGTTCAGTTCCTTTGTTATGATTCACGCTAATTTGATATAGTGATTTAGGTTAGTGCACATTTGTTCGTAGGTCCTACGCTCTCGATAACCAACTACTTCAACGGGTAATACGTACTAGTGCAGAAGTAGGTTGTAAGAAAGTTGGGGCAACCAAACAAAGAGGTATCACCAGTCCACTAAGTCATTGACTATTGGTCTGCGCCATGTAAGTAGATGCAAACTACTTGGTTGAGGTCCATGTAACCGATGTTATCACTGCTCATATAAGTAGAATAATATAAAATGTACTCGTAAGAAGACAATGAAAAATTCGTTTCGTTTAGTTCTTGATGTGTGTGTGAGAATGACAATGACTGATTATCTGCTTAGTCAGACATGTAGATAGTGTGACACGTGTTTGATGAGTTATATATTCCCTTATCCTTATTATTATTGTTGATTGATTGTTCATTGTTGTTGGATTGTGTTGGGTTTGGGTATGGAAATATATTTACGTTCTAGTTCGGCTAATCACGTGTTCTTGATCTGAGTCGTGTTGAAGTCCTGTACAGTAAACACTGGGAGGGAATCTAGTGCAGATATTCGTCTAAGGTAAATTAACGTCTCATACGCGTGTATACAAGGAAAAGGGCGGTTGTAACAGTTTTTGTCTTCTTACAACAGTACTGAGGTGGAGATTTAACAAGATTTAGAAAAAAAAGTGAACTGAACAAGTAAAGTAATTTGAATAAAACAAACCGTAAGCAGGAGTAGCAATGTAATGTTTTAATTGACTTCAACTGATTCTATTTTTTTAGCTTTTTATAATCTCTTGTCAACAGTCTGTGGCTTCACAAGTTTGTTGGTCACACCCTAATCTGATCAATCTTAGTTTTTCCCTGACTATATATATTTACCCTAAATAGATGATTCAGTCGTGCAGTCCATTTTCTGTTAAGTTTGTCTAACATATATACTTGTCTTCTTTTTCTCCTTCGTCATTGTTGATCAATCAGCGTCATGTTCGTCATGTGTGCAATAATAATCAAAGTGGTACGCCACTATTCAGCCTATATGATAATCTATCACCAGTGGTAACAGTACGGAAAAATTTCGACAGTTTATTTATTCCTCCAGATCATCCAAGTCGATCGCGTACAGATACATATTATTTAAATGAAACAACCGTATTGCGTAGTCATACATCAGCGCATCAATTAGATTTAATCAGTTCCGGTTTAAATGCTTTTCTTGTTGCTGGTGATGTTTATCGACGTGATGATATTGATTCACTGCATTATCCTGTCTTTCATCAATTAGAAGGTGTTCGACTGTTTACATCGGACGAAGTAAGGCTTTTTCCTCAATGCCTTTATTTTGTGAGATCTCATGAGAGTAGTTAATTATTAGCGTAACTAGCTTCCAATCAAACTTTTGATATGAAGGTGAGTAACACTAGTTGGTCACCTAAAGTAGGTGTGGTATGGTTTTAATCTGGTACCTAATGGTCGAAAATCGTTTGTTTTAACAATTAAACTACCTCACTGTTCGGTATTTTTCACTGAATAATATTTCAACTAATCGAAGCCTTTTAATTCAGTCTAACTCACAAAAACTTTTCAATTATAAACTATCCAGCTTAGGAAATATGACATTATCAAAATCTTTTTATTAGTAGAACTTAATAATATGGTCTTGGGCTAAATTGCTGTTTCTTAAGTCTAACTTCAATACGGTGAACGAGATTATCTTTGACTACTCTCTGGACAGGGTCCTAGAGATGATTTACATTGCCTTGAGACGCGATCAGACATGGCTCAAAATGGAAGCCAGTGGTAGTCATGTTATAATTTTCTCTTACTTCGTAAAAGTGAGAGGAACTTCTTTCACTTGCAGAATTCATTCTAGTTTTATTTTCTCGGATAAACTACCTAACCTACTATGTTTTGATCTCATTTGTTTATTCTTATTCATTTATTGTTCTTTACTACACTCACCCTCCTTCTTTTTTCTAACTCTTCATAATCTCATTTTCTTGTTATGTAGCTCATATTTATTTGAGTGTCCATTAGTACTAATATTTATATGTTCAAATAAATAAATGACCAGTTAATTGAGAGTTCCGCTATTTTTATGATAAAGTGAAATGTTATATGATCTTGAAGTGATGATTTCGTGATTAGATCACTCAAATTTCAAACGCTCCATCGCGAATGTTAGCTCTCTTTCATCTTCTCTAGTTTCAGTTGCTAGTTAGTATTTGTTAGCCCAAACAAGTACTTTATGGACTGGCGGTTAGACAGTTAGATTATTCAGGTTTCAATTTCTGAATTGCTGGTTCAAAGATTTCTCCGTCCATCCACTTTAACTTTGTGCAACCGAGTACATAAAGCTGTTCTTGGTTCGTGAGTTTCTTGAAATAATTTACAATCGAAAATTGAATTTGTTTTTTCTCACATAACTGTGGGCACCAGTTATTGATTTAGTTCGATTCAGTAGTTAGCTTTCATATCTTAACGATAAGAAATTTTTAATTAGTCATTCAAAATCATGTGTATTATGTACTTATATTATCCCTCTTTATAGTTATTTAGAAATGCTACTGATCCTTTTCAATGTTTTCGTCTGCTTGAAGATATTCCATCGTCTTCACCATACAGTGAACCAAATAGTCATCCATTCAGAGTTTTTCCATCATATATGCTTCCACCTGATAAACAAGTTTGTCATACAACAGAGACTAAAATGTTACTAGAATTTGAATTGAAAACCGTCCTAAAGGAAATGGCTAAATCTTTGTTTGGTCCAGGTATTATTATAATTTTATCTATTTACTATTTATATTTTGGTGTTTAATGCTAATAAATTTTACTGTTTATGAGTTTATTTCCCTTTTTTGTATTTCTTTCTGTCCATTATTAAAGGATACATATGAAAGGGACAGGTCAAGTTGACCATCCAGTTTTTTATCAATAGCTAATGAGAATACCGTTCTAATTCGAAATCTCACTGTTTCTGATAAACTGTCATCCGATATAAAGAGTCCATTTGACTTACGCCAAATTAAAGCACTTTTGAAGCAAGCTTTCATCAGAGAGGGCGAGTATACTGAGCAGCAGTCATTTCTGTACTGATGTTTGACCGTCAAATTTGGTCACACTTATTTTCGAAGCACTACTTACATGTGATGGAACCACATAGTTATTAGGTTTGAGGTACTAGACAAAGTTGTTGGTAAATTAATGCATACGACCGTAAGTCTTTGTTCACTGAGATTGTTTAAACATATATTTATCATGCCTAACCATCCTTTACTGTAACTCAATACTACCTAGCGTAGGACTAATCTATGAGAACGATAAAGCCAACCAAATTAAAACATGACATCAGCTCATGAAATTATTAGCTAGTGGTTTCGGCTGTATGATAGCGACTCAGACCTAGTTAAGGCACGAGCCATGGTTGTAATTCATTGTTCAAGAATTTGAAAGAGATGGATTAAAACCTGCTACACTTGCTTTCAATTTCTGTCCTTCTTTGATTCTTGAGATTGTTACCATCCCCATTCTTTCCGTTATACCTTTTAAGCTATATTTTTGATGTTTAATTTTACATTACACTTAGTATCATTTCTCCTCTATTGTTCATCTTCTTAGCTTCCTAACTCTCCAATATAAAATATATTAACTTTACAACGTTACAGATTCTTTCTAGATCCTTCATCGTGTATATTCTTTTTCTGAATTGTTTTCATGGTTTACCGCTGGAATTAAAAATAGTTGAGAAAAATGAAAATGCTTTATTTTCAAGTCAGACTTTCTTCCGATCCGGTTTCATTTATAAGTCAGTATCTCTGTATATACTGGTTATCCATGAGAGCGACAATACTCTTGTCTCACTCCAGTAAAGTTAACAATTCAATTTCTCTATCCAAATTTAGGTTTGTTGCTTTTATTTTTTATCGCTATCCAACCCACCTGCTTGACATGTTAGGTCTTTAAGAAACAAATTTCTTCACCAATATAGCTTTATTGCGTCATCCCAATATACAAGCTCCATCTGATGCGTCAGCAAATTGTGAATCTTCGACTTAGTAATATATAATGACGGTGATTAAAACCTCTCTGTCATCAGATCGCACTCTAGGAAGCCATTGTTAATTTTTTCGTATGTTAATCTTTATACTTTTTTGTTCAGTGAAAAATGCTCCATATAGTATTGTTCATTAGTTTTGAGTTTTCATCATAATATAACATAGATCTATGAGCATTTCTTTTCTTCCCCAGTTTCAGTATTTTCTTATTGGTGTTGCTTCATTTTTAATCACAGACATACAACTACGTTGGGTTAATGCTTACTTCCCGTTTACTCATCCATCATGGGAATTAGAAATCAAAACAAAGTCTGGCTACTCTAACTATGATGGCGATTCTGATAGTGAAAAGCCTGAAGAATGGACTGAAATATTGGGATGTGGTATAATGCGACAGGAATTACTAGAACGTTGTAAGTTTGTGTTCATTAAATTACTGGATCACAGTATTTTTTTATCAAGCGCTATATTCTTTGAGCTAGTTAGTTTAATTACGAAGCTTTCATTGCTGTTCTAGACACAAAATCATAACTGCCCATTTCATATATGAATGAGCTTTTCAGTGATTCAGTTGATTCTGATGACCTTGTTTTTGACTGGTAGTTTCCGTAGGTTTTGGCTTTTTCGTTTGTTTTTTGTAGTTATGCTGATTATCTTTTCGGTTGACGTCTGAACACATGGTTAGTTGACCTTTTTAATCTAGTGAGATAGATCAACTCAGGCCACCAAAATGAACAGATTTAATACTTGCGGAATGATGAAAAAGTTCAGTTTACATTACATAGGCTCTGTAAACGTTGTTTAGAGTGACAATGCAAGCTCTTCAATTATACCGTCTAGTTCAGGGAACATAATACTACTGAGTGTATAAATCTGCACAGCAAATCGTCTCCATTATTTGGATTAAAAGATATTTTATTATATTTATGTAAATTGTATCTATTGTATGGAATTTTGTAGGAAAATCGTTGTAATTAAAAATATGATTTGTCAACGCTACCAAACGGTTCTAATATAAGTCGAGTATCGTTATTTTTATAAGGTGACTATCTGTCTCTCTATTAAATCGCATTATTCACAATTTACAGCTCCAGCGTTGAAAAGATTCATTGGTCTAAACACAAGTGTAAACTCAACTAGAAATATCCTTTTAAAAAATATTGATTTTCTTATTACATCAATAGCGCATCCTAGCTCAATACTTCATTAGATTCCTCTGTGTTACTCACTTAAAAAAAGGTAAAGATCGGAAAATAAACTATAAATTATGCTGACCTAATTGTATAGAAGTCTAACCATTATTGAAACATTCAATTAATCAAAAATGAAAGATTAGTCTTTTGTATGGGGCTTTTTGTTGTCTCTTTACAATGAACAATATTGCTTTATAACTAAACCAGCATGATACAAGTTTATACTAGAATAGATGGAGCGTGGCCAGCAGTGGAATCCAGGATGTTCATTTTTTCCTGTTTGGGACTTGTCAGCCGGATGTACATGCATTTCAGAGTTGATATCCACTCTGGGATTCGAACCCAATATCTTTTAGTTCAAACGGTAGCGCGTTATTCACTTAGCTAGTCACTTATACATTGAATGGGAATTTTAGTTTGATTTACAATGGAATGAAGCACACTTTCTGGATTCCATAACTAGCCACATCGCATCTGTTCTAAATATACGGTAAACCACTTGTGACACGAAATGCTTGTGTCAAATACCACATTTTTATTGTTTCCTGTTCGACTATTTGTTGATCTTTGTTTGTCTTTTTTTCCTACTCAAAAGCTGGAATACCTAATAAAGTTGGTTATGCTTTTGGTCTTGGTTTAGAACGTTGGGCTATGCGATTATATGAGATACCAGATATTCGATTATTTTGGTCAAAAGATCAAGGATTTTTGAATCAGTTTATAACTGATGATATTCATGCGCCAATCAAATATAAGGTAGTCGCTTTTCTAAAGTTTTTAATGTAGTTATTCGGCTTATTAAGTTTAAGTATTGAGCAGTTTTTTGGAGGTTAATTTAATTCGTAAATGAAATTTGTCATGGATTATTAACCTAGATTCATGAGGGACTAAAAATAATTGGGTTATCATATCTGTTTATTCGGGACACATCTGATGACATATGTTTCAATATAATTCGTATGTGGGTAGCAATAGAATCTAGAGCACATGCTTCGTACCATTCGGGACTCGTCTGCTAGATGTACCTAAATTTCTTTATTGGTGTTTACAATGAGCCTTGAATCCAGAACCTTTCGTTTCAAACGTGTTGTCTAAATGGAATAAAACTCGTTTCCTGGATTCAACTTCTAGCTGCATACCAAATATACTGAAATTTTTGACAGAAGAATATCTGAGACCAATCCACTTAGGATACATATATAGCAACAGAGACTGATCAATTGTAATCCTAAATAACAATGATGTGAAGTTACAAATCCTTACTAATGACATGTGTATTTTGATTGCGTTTTTTTTCTCTTCATAGTCTTCAAGTCACTAAGTAGAAGAAGTGAAAATTTAAGACTTGATCTTAAAAACTATTTACTATGTGTATAGTTTTGTTTATCTCAAAATACTACAAAATGCTTTATGTTTTATTAGAGTGAGTATTAAGGAAGTTAAAACTATTTTAAAAACTTATAAACAAAGATGAATGGTGGCTAGCAGTGGAATCCAGGACGCGCGTTCCGTCCTACTTGGGACTCGTCTGCTGGATGTACCCGGATCTTAGATTTGATGTTCATTCTGGGACCCGAACCCAGTACTGTTCTCTTCAAACACTATCGTGTTATCCACTTAGCTACTGAGTCCTGATAGCCAGACTATAATTATTCGTACTTTTTTCGTATAATTATCTAGAGATAACTGGATTATTGTGTTTCTGTATTTCCTGTATTGTGAGCTTCCATCGGATCAATTAACTATTGTTGTATAGTTTATTGTTTTCCTTTTATTGCTAATTAATTATTTACTTTTTTACCCTGTTCTCTGCCTCTGATGGCGTGATTATTTGTGTAAAGTATAATTTCTTATTTGAGGATGCATTATGTGGTTTGATAATTCATGTATGCAAACTACTGTGTGTTTAAAATAAAAATACTACTTGCCTGATATACAGTAATATGAGTCTATTTGCTATATTCTCTTATCATGACTCAATACTGAGGATTGAAGAAGGCGTGTGTATCTCCAGACCAATAAATGTTAAGATTACGTTGACCTTAATCCTACCACTCGACAAATATCATTGATCAAATTTTAGTATGCTAGGCTACAGACAGAATAGTACATTCGTGAGGTTAAGAAATAATAACTGGAGTTCCAAATAACAAATCGCTCTTCTATTTGTATCTATTAACATCTCATCTATAAGAGTTTTACATTTACTTCAATATTTTAATGCTATTGTTTTTGTCAGGCCGTATATTTACTTGTGTTGTTGTTCATATAAGATAACAACAATCTACAATATCAACAATCAAGTGATTAATTTCTAATCCGTTATTAGTGAATACTATCTCAATTTTACTGATAGCTTCGTTACAATTAGTTCTTAAGGCTATTTGTTGTTAAATGATGAGTATTGTTGCCATGATACTTTAAATATTTATTCGGTTACTTTTAATCCCTAAAGCTTATTTTATAGAATGGTTTCTTTCTATCAGATTATGTAAAGTCTAGCCCGTCAACAGTAGTAAGTGAAGTATGACAAGTACCAGTACTATTTATTTTAAAAGTTGTAAATAGTCTATAGTTGAAAGTTATATTGAAGAGACATTAATTTAAAATAGCAACACGAATAAAATATTGTAATCTTTGTTTATCAAAATCAAAAGAGCCAAAAACACAAATTTCACCTAACTTTTAATGAAACCATTAGTGTTAGACTCGTTTTCATCATAAATTGGCATTGGTTAGACCAGCTATTTACGTTTAAAGAAAACTTGAGTACAACAAAAAAGCTGAAATGTTCATTAGCTATATTCCCATTGAAAATCATCAAGTTGGATATGATCAGAATCCATTCAGTGTCTATTATATAATTGAGGCGGTTGCAAGAATAGTCAAATATTTATAGAAAGATCAAAATCTCTTCAGTAACGATAACCACTCGCACACTTTCTATCAATTCGATTTTCCGCATGATCTTTGCCCTCTGATTGATCATATTTTTTAGTTCGCTAAATTGCTACGAGTTCGAAGGTCGTATTCTCCTACTATAGTAACAACTTTTGTTCCAATTTCGTTTGGGTTGCTTGTTCTGCCACAAATATTAAGTTATCTGCGATTCCGTCTTCTTCCTGTCTTAGCAGTTGAAGTTTGATGTGTTGAGTACAATCGACCATTGTCAATTCCGAAGAGGACCAATCGAATAAAATAAACTCAATCGTTTTCATTCCTAAATCCACAAAATCATTGTCCATAACGAACCCCAATAACAAGGCACAGAATATATTATTATTCGTGATGAGCGGCCCTGAAAATTTCGCTCAACAGACAAGAAAGACTCAGGAAACACTAGGATACATTTTATCCAATCAGAGTGGAGTAGAAGTTTTGCTAAAAACATCACGAAAGTGAAAAGTCACATGTGGAGTTTCTGACTGGCTGATTACTACACTGCTACTATGTTTAGTAGCATTCCAAAATTTTCAGGAAAACCTGTAGTATCAGTTTATATGTTAAGCCCATATACTTCATTCTAGTTACTGGTCAAGCCAATTCACCTATACATTGAGTCATATTTTGGTCTTGTTAATTATTCACTTATTAACCTTGACTACTTTTTATATGAGCGTATATGTGTACCCTTCGTATCCTATTCATCATATGTCTGTCATTCATTTTTGTCTGATTATAAATATTGAGTAATGCTTGCTCATAGCGAGTTGGCTTCCCAGCCATCTCCACTATGCGTCATCTTTGCTTCGCTCGCTTATACTTGCTCATGTGCCCACAGCTTTCTGATCTGCATCATTCATCAATAAAAATGTAGTTGTCGCTTCCTTTTGCCTTCTGATTTTATACACCGTTAAGATTGGTTTAATAAGTGTTATCGAAGTGAACTATTATTGAAGCACGGCACTACAAACACAAGGTCTTCTAAAATACTATAAAAACCCTATATTTTCTGTACGTAAAGGGACCTTTGGAGTAAAGTGCTTCTCGCATATTTTTTGCCTTTTCTTTCGTGTTCAAATCGCTGTGTAGATTTAGCTTGGGGGTTACGAGACTAGCTTAGGATTCAAGTATAGCGTCCAATCAGCAAAACTTATCAGTGGTGACGGGGAAAACTACAATGAATATTTCTTTGGAGCAACTAGAAGCTTATATGGAGCGTCAAGAAAGGCGGCTTGAACAGTCTCAATTCAGAATCATGGAAACCCTTATGCAGAAATTATGCATGTCCCAACAAAACTCTGCTTCTGCTGAATTACAAGTATCTCATACTGATTCAGTTATTAATGCAATCCATGAATTTAATTTTGATGGTGCAGCAGGTGCTACTTTTGACTCTTGGTTTAAGAAGTATGAAGAATTGTTCCGTATTGATCTCTGCAGAATGGATGACACCTCAAAAGTCAGAATACTTCTAAGAAAACTTGGGACAACAGAACATGAACGCTGTAGCAACTTTATTCTTCCGAAGAACCCACGAGACTTTAGTTTTGATGAAACAATTCAAACCCTGTCTCAAATCTTTGGAGAACAGTCATCTCTACTAAATATCCGTTACCAATGCTTGAAGATAACAAAAGAACCAGGAGATGACTGGGTGAAAAACGCAGGAATTGTGAACCGAGAATGTGAGAGGTTCAAGTTGCCTTCCATGACTGAAGACCAGTTTAAATGCCTAGTATTTGTCTGTAGCCTGCGTTCACCCGAGGATGCTGACATCTGAACAAGAATCCTAAGCAAGCTTGAACATTGTCCCAACATGACCCTGCAAGAAGTAACGGCGAGACTAAACTATACTGCCGAGCCAATCAGAAGCTTTCGCGGGTTTTCAAGGTCACGGCACTAATCTTATTACAAGATGCTTACGTACGATCGTTTTACAGCGGGTTTTAACGAAGACGTTATAATTGAGCGTCTACAAGAGAAGGGATTATTGAGAAGTTCATATACTTGTGACTATGGTAGTCAAATGGCTGCTGTACAGTGTGCAAACTGCCGTGATGATGTTATCTTTCGATGTTCTTCATGTCGGAAGAGAAAGTCAGCTCGAACAGGAACTTTCCTCGCTCGATCAAAATTAAGGTTAAGGCAGATTATGATCCTTGTTGCAAATTGGATAATAAAAGCACCAGTTACACTTGCTGCCACGTTTGCCAGTGTAAGAGAAGTTTCGGCAGTTCAGTGGTACGAGTATTGTCGAGATATATGTGCAACAAAATTGACAAGCGTACACTAATCGTATGGAGGAGTTGGGAGGATCGTTGAAATAGACGAAACAGTTGTAAGGAAACGCAAATTCAACCGTGGCCGCAGTATCAAAGAAGATTGGGTAAGTACCTCTTCCATAAATATACCTCACGGGTCCTTGGAATCTATGATAGATCACTACAAAAAGGGCATTTCCAAAGAGTTAGCAACCGACAGGCACCGACAATAATACCGATTATACAGCAATATGTCTTCTGATTGGCTAATATTCCTCAAGGTCATTCAATATTCGTTCAAAGGTCAGTGAGACTAAACTATACTGCCGAACTTAGTCAATCAGAAGACAGTTAGTACACAGTAAAAATATATTATACAAAACTCAAAAATTAGAGGGGATATTGTTCTTTTACATGATTCAAAAACTTATCAAGGTTAGATATTGGTTCAGAAGTTTTAAAATCATAATACATACGATACAGGAATTCATCCATTTGGCTCCATAGTAGTCGTCCTCTGGAACCATGATAAGGTCTCCAAAATTCTTTCGGCCTCGATCACATAGCCTCAATGTCATTAGTGTGGACCCCAGTTGTAGGGTCTACAAAATAACGCTTGTGTACGACAACTTCATGCACGTAGCCCAATATCCTTATGCACCTGTAGGCTCTTCAATCGTCCGTATATACCGTAGTTCCCGGAAGCACATATTGCTGTATAATCGGTATTATTGTCGGTGCCTGTCGGTTGCTAACTCTTTGGAAATGCCCTTTTTGTAGTGATCTATCATAGATTCCAAGGACCCGTGAGGTATATTTATGGAAGAGGTACTTACCCAATCTTCTTTGATACTGCGGCCACGGTTGAATTTGCGTTTCCTTACAACTGTTTCGTCTATTTCAACGATCCTCCCAACTCCTCCATACGATTAGTGTACGCTTGTCAATTTTGTTGCACATATATCTCGACAATACTCGTACCACTGAACTGCCGAAACTTCTCTTACACTGGCAAACGTGGCAGCAAGTGTAACTGGTGCTTTTATTATCCAATTTGCAACAAGGATCATAATCTGCCTTAACCTTAATTTTGATCGAGCGAGGAAAGTTCCTGTTCGAGCTGACTTTCTCTTCCGACATGAAGAACATCGAAAGATAACATCATCACGGCAGTTTGCACACTGTACAGCAGCCATTTGACTACCATAGTCACAAGTATATGAACTTCTCAATAATCCCTTCTCTTGTAGACGCTCAATTATAACGTCTTCGTTAAAACCCGCTGTAAAACGATCGTACGTAAGCATCTTGTAATAAGATTAGTGCCGTGACCTTGAAAACCCGCGAAAGCTTCTGATTGGCTCGGCAGTATAGTTTAGTCTCGCCGTTACTTCTTGCAGGGTCATGTTGGGACAATGTTCAAGCTTGCTTAGGATTCTTGTTCAGATGTCAGCATCCTCGGGTGAACGCAGGCTACAGACAAATACTAGGCATTTAAACTGGTCTTCAGTCATGGAAGGCAACTTGAACCTCTCACATTCTCGGTTCACAATTCCTGCGTTTTTCACCCAGTCATCTCCTGGTTCTTTTGTTATCTTCAAGCATTGGTAACGGATATTTAGTAGAGATGACTGTTCTCCAAAGATTTGAGACAGTGTTTGAATTGTTTCATCAAAACTAAAGTCTCGTGGGTTCTTCGGAAGAATAAAGTTGCTACAGCGTTCATGTTCTGTTGTCCCAAGTTTTCTTAGAAGTATTCTGACTTTTGAGGTGTCATCCATTCTGCAGAGATCAATACGGAACAATTCTTCATACTTCTTAAACCAAGAGTCAAAAGTAGCACCTGCTGCACCATCAAAATTAAATTCATGGATTGCATTAATAACTGAATCAGTATGAGATACTTGTAATTCAGCAGAAGCAGAGTTTTGTTGGGACATGCATAATTTCTGCATAAGGGTTTCCATGATTCTGAATTGAGACTGTTCAAGCCGCCTTTCTTGACGCTCCATATAAGCTTCTAGTTGCTCCAAAGAAATATTCATTGTAGTTTTCCCCGTCACCACTGATAAGTTTTGCTGATTGGACGCTATACTTGAATCCTAAGCTAGTCTCGTAACCCCCAAGCTAAATCTACACAGCGATTTGAACACGAAAGAAAAGGCAAAAAATATGCGAGAAGCACTTTACTCCAAAGGTCCCTTTACGTACAGAAAATATAGGGTTTTTATAGTATTTTAGAAGACCTTGTGTTTGTAGTGCCGTGCTTCAATAATAGTTCACTTCGATAACACTTATTAAACCAATCTTAACGGTGTATAAAATCAGAAGGCAAAAGGAAGCGACAACTACATTTTTATTGATGAATGATGCAGATCAGAAAGCTGTGGGCACATGAGCAAGTATAAGCGAGCGAAGCAAAGATGACGCATAGTGGAGATGGCTGGGAAGCCAACTCGCTATGAGCAAGCATTACTCAATATTTATAATCAGACAAAAATGAATGACAGACATATGATGAATAGGATACGAAGGGTACACATATACGCTCATATAAAAAGTAGTCAAGGTTAATAAGTGAATAATTAACAAGACCAAAATATGACTCAATGTATAGGTGAATTGGCTTGACCAGTAACTAGAATGAAGTATATGGGCTTAACATATAAACTGATACTACAGGTTTTCCTGAAAATTCTGGAATGCTACTAAACATAGTAGCAGTGTAGTAATCAACCAGTCAGAAACTCCACATGTGACTTTTCACTTTCGTGATGTTTTTAGCAAAACTTCTACTCCACTCTGATTGGATAAAATGTATCCTAGTGTTTCCTGAGTCTTTCTTGTCGGTTGTGTTATTTATTAATGGATTACCACAACATACGTAAGCTTGTTCTCGATCTCAGCGTTGTTTTTTCAATTTCTGTAACATATGCATCTGATTTTGGCCTATTGATACGAAAAAAGAATTTCATATATATGATGTATATTAAAGAATTTTTAATACTTATTTTCAGTTTGTCATCTTTTTATTTACTTATATTATATCAGCCTGTCAGTATATTTCCTCCGTGTATATTGGATCTTTCATTTTGGTTAAACGACTCTGAATCAATATCATCTTTGTCTTCCAATCCTGATGGATTAGATAGAATTAAAATTGTTGAACGGGATATTTTCGATCTTGTACGTTCCGAAGCTGGCGATCTAATAGAACAGGTAAAGAAGAATAATTTTCTCTCAAAATAATTTTAATAGTTTTACAAATATAGATTACAACTTTGGTTGTGTAAATGAAACCTAAACTAGTAACCTACCTAGGCAATTAGTTAAATCTGTCGTAGAATGTATACTACTGACATTGTAAATAAGTAGATAGATTTTTAATTATAAATATTTCATCAAAATTTTTTTTTCTATTGTCCAACCTACATGTAGATTCGTTTGGTCGATTCGTACATAGATCCGAATACCGAACGACAAAGTCTTTGCTATCGTTTTATCTACCGAGATCAACATCAAACTTTGACAATGGATAAAGTTCGACCATTACATGAGTATATTGGTCAAGTTTTAGCGGAAAAATTAAATCTTTCCATCCGATAATAATTGTTTGTTAAATATCAAATCATGATCAACATGAGTATACAATTTCGAAACATCGTTTCCTACCTGATACCTTTATGTAAATATTCTTCATCTTGTCGCATACATATTTATATTTTTTCTTCTATAGAATCAACTTTTCGAATAATAAATTTTGTTTTTTGTTCAAAATGTTTTCTTTGTTGAAGGAAAAAATTAAATCCATTGATCACTGATTGTGTGACCAATGTTGTGTTCACTCTTAGTAGTGTTGAATTCCTGTTGATCATATTGCGATACGGATACTAGTTTAAGTAGCTCGACATCAGAAGTACTATGTTTTCATCAATGTCGATATTTCTATCTCAGAGAAGGTCAGTCACACCTTGAACAGCTCAGCGATAACATCTCATAATGAAACAAAGTAATACGACTTCAAATTACAAAGAAGACATGTAAGGCTTCTGAGGTTATAGGTACCCATTTCTGACACGTGCCAACTCACAATAAATCTAGGTCTTAAATTTCTTACTGATTGCCTCCAAAGATGACTAATCGAACTTCAATCAAGGTATCAACTACGTTATAACTCAAACCATGTCAAAGTAGAATAAAACTCACATCGCACAGTTGAGTGGCTATCTGAACTCATTAGTTGATTAAGTAACGTAGGCGTCTGAAGCAAAGGGTACAGAGTCCGAGTTCCGGTGTGAACATAAGCACTGGGATTTGGCGGCTACCGTTCAGCTGACGAGTCTTGAATAGGAGGAAATCCACATTCTGAATTCCATTGTTGGTTACACTTCATCTGTTCTATATCATTCAAGAGAAATAATTCGTTTGAAATTCGGTCATCAATTCCTAGGAAGTTGATAAAATGCAGAGATTTAAGAACATGTCCATTTTCGTAAATTCCTGACTTTTCATATTTTCCATATCATATTCATTAGTGTAGTTTATGAATGCACTTTTTAACTTACCGTTTATTATTAACTTAGTCATGAGTTCGACAGTTATACCACTTCTAGCAAAATTGAACTATTTGATCCAAATTGTATTACCTAGATGTAACAGACTTGTCATGAGGCTTTAAAGCCTTAAGCTTAACTGTTAGACTTCTTGAAACATGAAACTAAAGCCCTTCATTATTGGCGTTTAGATAGAATGGTACTGGGTCCAAATTCCGGTATGAACATCTGTATGGTACTTTCTCATACCGTGTTTAATGTTCATATAATATTGAATTATAAATCAAATTAAAGGAAAACATCCCGTTAATATGAAACGGTGGTTTAATAGTTTAAAAATATTGATTTTTTAACAAATATGTCGTTCGCTCAAATCCCATTCCACCGTGTTTATTAATGAAATTATAAACAGTTACATCCGGGTGACGAGTTGCAAATAGGACAAAACACACGTTTGGGATTCTTCGACTAGCTATCATTCAACTTTGTTTAAATGAGTGTGACTTAGTGACAATATTGAGGTAGTCTTCGTAGAATGTACTGATCAATTATTGTTCATAACATTAACGGGAAAATTCTAATAACCAGTATAAAAGAATAAAATAAGTTATATCTTTAAGGCACTTGTTTGTGACTTGCTAGTTAAGTATATCTTATTTATTTATTTAAAGACAGGAACATTGTTACAAGGAGGCACCAAATATGTATGCGCCGCATAAATCATTTGATTTGTGTGAGAGCCGGAATACTGCCAGGACGCCCAAAGCAGGTGGTTTTCTTAGAGGGCCACAACCCCAGGTAGATCTGAACACACGTATAGACACTCACAATCAGATTAGAAATCCGTGTCCATTGTTTCAAAAATATAAACGCATTATTTAGTAAGCTACTGGGTTCTTTTTAACACTAATATATGATAGTATAACATATTCTTTGAGCAATAACTAAGCCTTAGTAATAACTACGTTACTTATTTAGTTATTTACTGACAAATCAGTTGATGAGGTCATGAATTTTCATCGACTGAGATGGCTGGGCCACTTGTTACGTATGCCTGAACACCAATTACCACGATGTTCTATGCTGACTAGTATTGGGGATGGTTGGAAGAGAGTTAGGGGCGGCCAAACCAAAATGTGTCATCAGAGCTTGAAGACACTAACTTCTAGTCCGAGCCGTGTTGGTAGGTGTGGACTACTTGGTTGGGGTCCGCATGACTATCGTAACCAATGGTTGGAGACTCTGGGTGACATGGCTCAGAATCGATCACAATGGCGTAGGTGTATACACTCTTTATCTTCCCTTAAACTATGAGATTAAAATTGCTTCATATCTGTCTTTCTTTCTGTACTATATCCTTATATACAACTTATCTTTTATATACTACCACCACTAAATTAACTACTATTAAATCAGTATTCATCTTGTGCTAACGAGATATATCAACTTGGACCGATGCACAAATGTGCCTGGTCCTACGTTGTAGCTGACTGACTATTTACTGGCTAACTGTACCTATTAACGTACAGTGTTCTAATCTTTAATTGATCAGAAAAGTAATCATTTTTGATTAATTCATATCATGAAATGAGTATCACAATACTCATGGTTATTTCACAAAATAGATTATATTGACATTAGATTTCTTTCCCTAATAATTGGTTTCGTGATACAATGTTACAAAGACTATTGTTTTGTGTAAACTATAAATTTAGCGCATGAACATAGCTCAAGATAGTTAATTGTATTTACTTACATCTGTTACTCCCAATGGAGCATAGGCCGCCTACCAGAATTCTCCAACCCACTCTGTCTTGGGCCTTCCTTTCTAGTTCTATCCAGTTGTTGTTCATTCTTGTCATATTTTTTTCCATTTCTCGGTGTAATGTGTTCTTTGGTCTTCCTCTTCTCCTTTGTCCTTGAGGATTCCAAGCGAGGGCTTGCCTTGTCATTAACGTTGTTGGATGCCGACTCAGTGATCTGGAGTTTAGACGTCTGCAAGTGAGACCAAATGTTCTAGGTTCGTTTCTAGTGTGCGGGATGGTAGTTGTGCACTTCTGAGAAGTTCCATACCAGGACGAAGTTTGCGTTCAGGGCCTTCGGATTTTAATGGCGATCTAACATTGATCAGTTGCTAATTTCAATGCAAAGTAATAATTAGTTTATTCACAGTCGGAAATCTAATAAACAGTGAAAAACATCACAACTTATAGGTTTATTTGTTTCTAATGCAGTTTTTTTTTAAAATTTCAAATGAGATTCATTGTGTCTTGGTGTTCTTTATAGAGAGAGAGGGAGGGAGAGCAACAACCACAACAACAGACTTATCGATTGTTTTTTTTATTACTTTGTCGGTTTTTGAGTTGTTATTATCGTTACATTATGATTTTTAAAAATTGATTTTCATTTTGGTTTTTCTTTCCAATCACTTAATCACATAATTAGTTTTCGCATGGCAATCATAAATTTCATTACATAATCAGTGTGTGTGTGTGTCCATATTATAAACTGTGACCTTGATTTATTCCGGTCAATCAACGTATACAAATGAAATACTTATTTTCATAGTTTAAATCACACACTGATTTTAATTAGACCCCCATTGAAAACATGGAAATAGTACGGCTATTTTGTTCAAGTATGGAACTAGACTCTATACGCATCCCCCTTCTACGTTTAAATATTTTAGTTATTGTTAATTTTCTATACTTATCATTTCTTGCAATTATCAAATCATAATTAATTTAGTCACTAAGAGATTTATTAATACATATATTGTTAATTATTAATTCATTTATATATTTTTTCATTGAAGAGTTGGAGCGAATAAATTTTTTTTGGGGGGGGGTTGGTAACAAGCTAAGCCTTATCGAAAATGTATCTTTAGTTCCACATTGGGTGGTTAAGCTTGAATGAATGTTTGCGTAAAATCTGTATTGGTGACTTGAATCAAGCCAGTGATGTTTGCGACTACAATCGATCAGTTGTTTTTTGGGGGGCTTATGTGAATGTTGTTGGAATTGCCTCGGTATTACCATTAAGTTATAAGCATTATAGGCGGAGATAAATGATGTCTAGCAGTGAAATTCAGAACCCAGTTTTCGTCCTATTCAAGACTTGTCAACTGGTGAACATCAACTGTGAGATCTATTTAATTACAACTACCGAGTCCGAAATGGGAGGAAACATGGATCTTGGATTCCACTGCTAACCATAATCCATCTCTGCCTATAACCAATTTATTTTAGCTTTTTCATGAATTATTAATCATCATCGCCAGAAAGATTGAAAATCTTATTTTTAATTCACATTGTGAGGTTAATCAATGTTGTAAAACATCAAACCAACATGAAACAGACATTTAATAAAAAACTATATGTTTAGTTATAGTCAAGCAGGTAAATTTGGAATCACATTTAAGAATTCATAGATATATATTTAACAGTACAACTGATATATTTCCTGTTGAAATAAAGAAAAGTTTTAAGAGAGAGTAATAGGTCAACAAACTCTTCAACAGGATAAACTCATCCCAATGTTCAAATGTTCTAATGTCAGGTTGCCCTCATTCTAATAATTAAATCATGCCAAATAAAAGCCAAAATCATTATGAAACGAATATTTCAAAAAAAAGGAATTGATTCCTGATAAGATTTTCAATGTAATTTCCTTCATCAGATATCGATTTTTCTAATAACTCGTTTTCTTTCTAATAACATTGAAGCTACATCCATCTGACGAGTTCCAAATAGGACAAAATGCAAGTCTTGAATTCCACCATTAGCTACCATTTATCTTTGCTTATAATTGTAATTCAAAAGTTCAAGAAGATCTTTATTCCCCCCCCACATTTTCAGTGTTACATAATCTTGAATGTTTCTTCAAGATATATATTCATTTATCAATCAACTTAACAAAACAATATAGACGGAAACATATATATCTGTGAAAAATAAATGAAACCATGATTGACTCAACAACAACAAAAAATTTCTTTACTAATGGGATTAGATATGAATGATGGTATAATGATTTTTGTTTTTCAAATGTGTACATATATCAATATTGAATAACAACATCAACATTGAATATATTGGCTAGATAGAAATCATTTTATGATTAATGATACCATGGTAAAAGATTGGTGATTATCTAATATAGAATTTACTTTCGTTAGACTATGCTTCATCAGATATATATATATATATGTAGGTGTGGGTGAGTGTA